TGTGTGACAATGTGTTCTGTATCTACTATGTATTCTATACATCATGTATAATATCATAATATGACAGGTGTTGCTGGGTTATATTTCCAGCTGAGGTGTAGTGTTTAGATCAACATCTAAACTGCACGATATTTGATTGTGACATAGTAGGTCTGGGTTGCATTGCCCACATGGGTGCAATGTTGAATGTCATTTCAAGCGTCCCTCACCTTGACAGAATTACTAAAAGTGAGGTAATAACCTTACCCACTAACTCAGAACATGTCGTTTGGTTCACACACTTTGCTATTTGTTATAACTAAACTCTCCCACATATACATCTAATGCAGACCATTTTTATATAATACTCAAAAACACTGAAATAAACATGATAATACTCAGAAGCGTTGCCACATCTACACTGCCACATTAGTCGAGGTGCAGATGGTATTGTTGATTCCTACGATTCCAGAGAAGAAAGGGTCCCTAGTATTCTATGCTTCTTGTGAGAGTCAACTAAAGAAGATCTGGGTGTCTTAACTCATTTTGTGTAATTGTTACCCCTTGGCACTGATCGATGCTCGTGGTATCAGTCACTGGTTCGTCTGTTCCAGACTCGATGACTGACGCTGCCGTGATATAGCTTAAATATTGCTGAATAGGGAGACCGCCTCTGAGGTCAAGTGGATAGACCTCTGCCTAGAGAGCGGAAGGTCGCTGGTTCAATCACTGGGTGTCGAACAAACTTATTTTAAAACATGGTACTTGTTGTTACCCTGCCAGGCTTTCAGCATAAAGGGGATAAAACAAGGACTGGTCTGCTATACAGGTCAGTATACTGTCTGCGCGGGGTATCCATGTTAAACTGTGGCATGGTTTCTCAGCGGGATAGCACTAGAAAACCAGCATTAGTCCAGACGAGTACAAACAGCCACACACACACGTGCATGAATGTCATTACCCGGTACATATCTGCAAAATTCTTGAAGACAATGTTGCACCCGATGTCCCCTCAACTCCCAAATGGAGACCATAATGTCCAAGGTTGATGAAAGTGTTCTTCTTTGACTGTCTGCACTGGCCATTTATGTACAAACTTTCTGGTTATCCAAGAATTCAAGAACATTCCATTTGCTGTGTCATAGTGAAAAGACAACACAAATGTGTCATCGATTATCCCGGTTTTACTGGCATTGAATAACAATGGAGCATTTTCAGTTCAAGAAAACCAATAATATATTATGAGAAACAAATAAAGTGGTTAGAAAACAGTGTTTGTTACATATTATGTACAAACAGCCACAACTAAGGTAAAATTCATAAAAGCAAACAACTATCCTAGAAATTGTATAGTATAAACATGGTAAAAAAGACCAAACAGCAAACAAAGCACCTTTATAACATGTAAACTATAGCATTATGGGTAAAATATATGCTGTGTATACCATAGATGTATGAAGCAAATACATACTTGATAAAAAACTGGAAAAAGATCCCTGTTCATGGCAAGAAGGATCTACTCAGGTAGATAAGGAATGCACAGATTAAGTTTCAATACAAGGTCTAGGGGTGCAAATAATATACAAATCAAGTGTTCAATACATGGTTTAGAATTGAAGATACCGTATTCGACCCAATAAGCGCCCAGGGCGCTTAAAATAAAGACAGAAGGGTCGGGCGTTTATTGGGACCAATTCAGAAGTTATTGGGACATGGGCGCTTATTGGGTCGAATACGGTAATTAACATGAAGATACTGTACATGATCTGGAATCCTAGATAAAGCACCTGTTCAATACTTGATCAAGAGTAGAGGTATTATTTACTGTAGTGGTCCAGGCTTCTTAAGTTTTACTGCCAAAATATTTTAATGAAAGGACTCTCTCCACAATCTCTTTTAAAAATTGTAATTTTCAGCATTTCAGCACGATGTCCTTGCCAATTGTCCAGTTGTACAGAGGTAAGTAGGTATGACTGGAGCTAGGAAACTCAGGTGAGAACAGTTTGCTGCTGATCAACATAAGTGGGTCACTTTCAGTATTTACATAATCTCTTCACTGGTCGCAAACATGCAAAAAAGGTCGACACAATATAGCAAATAAACACATCAAAATGATCATATTACTCATGAGGTATCACTACAAAGCCATCTAGCAAATACACTGAAAAAGAAAATACACTTCAACAAACTAAAGAACACATTATGACAGCCAACTTAAATATGCATATATGCATAAGAATATTTTGTGAGCTCATTGTTGGTTGTAACAGAGCCCTGAAAACACATCCACAGCCAGGTGACCACAATGCATGCACCTGACCAAAAAAGCTTCTGTTGAGATATATAACAAAATGTACTTTAACATAACAGTTACCCTGCATCAGGGGGTACCAGCAGCAATATGACGATGGTGTATTTGAGACAGTTCACAATAAATACTTAAATCGGTTTCCAGACCAATGGCAGAGTTATAGGTGACGCAGAAATGTGTGTCCAGTTCACACAAATGTTGAGAATGAACGCAGAAAAAGAATATACTGTGTCATGAGGGATGCACAATAATATTCATTGAACCTTCAGCGTTTATTAAGCAGTTACGGGTGTCTGAATTTCATCCATCACCACTGTCCACATGATCATTGATTCATTCCAGATTCTGAAGTAATTATCAAAACGTACAGTACACTACACCATTTCATTATTTTATAGGACCATCATATTGCCAGCTAGGACCCATAAAAATATTTAATGGGGGTCCCCTGGAACCACACTGTTGTAAATCAAGGTAAAATCCTCAATTGAGTTCTTCCATTAACACCAGTTTCACAAGACACAAACGATAGTACTTTCTTATGCTTATTACTTGTAGCATCAAGTTAATTTCCCGTAATTGTAATGGGTCTGATAAAACAAACATAGATTCCTGTCATATAAAACAAAAGTCTTGTGTCTCACAAATGAAGAGGACAAAATAAACAGAATGTTTACTACTCAAAACAAGCGTAGGGCCACCTGATTCTTTCATACTGCCATAGTTAATCTGTGATGCCATGACAGTTATATAAAGGATTCATCACAAGTGTTTTTTAATATGGGAAATATCAACCGAGTCTTAGTTAATCGGAATTTGCCGAGCCTTTGGCGAGGCAAATACCGATTAACGGGACGAGGTTGATATTTCCCATATTAAAAAACACGAGTGATGAATTCTATTTATCATTTTCACATTTTTGCTTCCAAATTAAGGAATAATTGCATTAAACATTAACATCAGCAACTTGTCGAAATCTTACGTATAGATCGTGCGTAGTGATACATGTTTTCCATAGCCATGTAAACCAAAATAAACAATTCGTTGAGAAAAAAAGTTCCTCGGATTATTTTAAACAAAATTCTTGAACAGACTTTTGCAGAATAATTGAAACTTTAATAGGGGTAACAACAACGATTCTGTGTAATCTGATTATATCTCTGGTGTAACTTCACTTATAATATATAGTTTCAAATCAAACCGCTCGCTCTTCCGGTTATCTAATTTGCATATCTAATTTGCATACTTATGTCATTGGGGTGTGACATACATGTTTTTATGTCATATGCTTATGTCATGGATAAATGCTTAAGTTAAATGATAAATGAAAGAATCGGGTGGTCCTTTACTTCTTTTCAGTAGTATATATGGACATATATGTATTGGAACAAGATTTACTGCCATTAGAGTATAGGTCTTTGTTAATAACATCTCAACTCAACTCAGCAAAACAGACAAAATTATTACCTGAGATGTTTTGTGCAAATAATTCAGACAATGACGTACATGTATTAGAATCTACCTACACTTGTGAGCACTGTGATGCTAGCCTCATCTGACACATACATTATGCTTGTTCGTCTTTATGTGTAGGAATAAAGGAAGTGATATGCCTCAAGGAACGAGTCAACTAGTCAACAACAAGCTCATCTTTGCTGTCAACAACTATCACTATTATTTAATCAACTAGTTTGCACAACCATCCCTAGAAGCTGAAAGCAACAAAACATGTCATTAGCTAAGTGACACTGGTTTAATGAGGACAGATGCACATAAAGATATCAATATGCATATACTGAAAACAAAACTTAGGGATCATGAATATTTTAGGGGATATTTGATACATGAATTGTGTGCTCAGTCTTCATTACAAAAAAATAAAATAAATAATTCATGATCCCTTTAATTGTTCAGTATATCGGCACACATTAGGGCTGGGACGGGTAACTCGGGTACCCAGGTCGGGTGGGTACTGAGTAAGACCTGGGTACCCACAGGACTACCCGGATTCGTGGTTAGTCATGTGATATATTGTTTAATGACACAAAAGGTATCTAGAACTCTGTGGTTACACTACAAGTCACAACAGTTCGCATTCCTTCTGACTTTTCATATCTTTGAATAAAGATATAACTTTAGTCAACTTCAGTGTATGCATGAACAGATTGTTTAATACGTTTTGCCAGTGCTATGGTAATAAAATGCCCAAAGGGACATTTTGTACCTATCTCTTGAGACCTACAGTGGGTACCCAGGTAGGGGCAGGTAATAGGGGGGTGGGTACCGGGGTAGGGTCGGGTAATAGGGGGGTGGATACCCGGGTAGTAAATTCGGACTCGTCCCAGCCCTAGCACACGTCTATTGAAACATGTCTGTTTCCATGACATTAGTATTCAGTAATCAAGTAGTGAGCAATGTTTGCAAAGCCCAGCAGCTGTTGTCCATCTCATCTGTATCCCTGTCTTTCTTGTAATAGCATCAGTTATCATTTATCACTACAATCAACATAATTAAATATATCATATCCTACAAATACTGTTCAACTATATCCACCGGTTCAATACTGGCTGTCCCTTTCACTGAGTTTTTTCACTGGTGATCTCAATACATCAGCTATACAAATGTATACCCTGAAGTGACTACAGAAAACATCTCGATACACCCTTTTAATACTTGTGCATTATAGTAATTATCTCTGCTTTCTTCAACATGGACGCTGCCCTGTGTAGAGATGCAGGATGGGCTTCTACAAGTGTGCAGGGTGATTCCTAAGGCAGGAAATGAAGAGCTTTGGGTCCATGACTCGTTGACAAATCTTGTTGACAGCTACGAACATTGGAAACCTGAAGAGTGAAGCGAGTGACTTGGTTCAATGCTGCTTTGTAAAGTCTTGTACATTATGGCATGTCAATGATGTACAGTGATGCAGAATGTAGGTGAAAACAATGAGAATGGTTATAGTACTGACAGAAAGGATCAGAATTGTGGTGATTATGGGATTTGAATCCTTTCATGCCATAAGGATCAACTGTTTCCAACCCCCTACAAACTGTAGTTGTTGCATCAACTGTTTCCAACCCCCTACAAACTGTAGTTGTTGCATCAACTGTTTCCAACCCCCTACAAACTGTAGTTGTTGCATCAACTGTTTCCAACCCCCTACAAACTGTAGTTGTTGCATCAACTGTTTCCAACCCCCTACAAACTGTAGTTGTTGCATCAACTGTTTCCAACCCCCTACAAACTGTAGTTGTTGCATCAGCTGTTTCCAACCCCCTACAAACTGTTGTTGTTGTATCAACTGTTTCCAACCCCCTACAAACTGTAGTTGTTGCATCAGCTGTTTCCAACCCCCTACAAACTGTTGTTGTTGTATCAACTGTTTCCAACCCCCTACAAACTGTAGTTGTTGTATCAACTGTTTCCAACCCCCTACAAACTGTTGTTGTTGTATCAACTGTTTCCAACCCCCTACAAACTGTTGTTGTTGTATCAACTGTTTCCAACCCCCTACAAACTGTAGTTGTTGCATCAGCTGTTTCCAACCCCCTACAAACTGTAGTTGTTGTATCAACTGTTTCCAACACCCTACAAACTGTTGTTGTTGTATCAACTGTTTCCAACCCGGTACACACATTCCTTGATGCATCGACTGTTTCCATCACCTACACATTGTCCTTGTTGTATCAGCTGTTTCCTACCCCCTACACACTGTTCCTGTTCAATCTAACTCATTTAAAACAAAAGCGAAGTTCCTTTCCCAACAGATGTTACCAGTTATTGCCGTGCTTTTTGAGAACCGCACACAGCCCACCCTTCTAATTCGACACATCTGGACTGAAAATAGACCAATTTGGCTTTAAATGGGTTTTGGCAGTATTAATTTCACATCTTGAAAACTAATATCCTCAAGACTGTTGGTGACACAAACCCATTTAAAACAAAAGCGAAGTTCCTTTTCCAACAGATGTTACTAGTTATTGCTGTGCTTTTTGGAAAACCGCACACAGCCCACCCTTCTAATTCGACACATCTGGACTGAAAATAGACCAATTTGGCTTGAAACAGGTATTGGCAGTATCCAATTCACATCTTGAAAACTAATGTCCTAAATAATATTAGTGAAGCAGACCCTATCCAAACAAAAGCGAAGTCCCTTTCCCAACAGATGTTACCAGTTATTGCTGTGCTCTTTGGAGAACCACACACCGCACACTGCTTCTCTCTATCTCCGACTCACTATCACACAGCCCTCTCTAACCCTGACTCACTATCACACAGCCCTCTCTAACCCTGACTCACTATCACACAGCCCTATCTATCCATGACTCACTATCACACAGCCCTATCTATCCATGACTCACTATCACACAGCCCTATCTATCCATGACTCACTATCACACAGCCCTATCTATCCATGACTCACTATCACACAGCCCTATCTATCCATGACTCACTTTCACACAGCCCTCTCTGTCCCTGACTCACTATCACACAGACCTATGTATCCATGACTCACTTTCACACAGCCCTCTCTGTCCCTGACTCACTATCACACAGCCCTCTCTGTCCCTGACTCACTATCACACAGACCTATCTATCCATGACTCACTATCACACATCCCTATCTATCCAAGACTCACTATCACACAGCCCTATCTATCCATGACTCACCATCACACAGCCCTCTCTGTCCCTGACTCACAATCACAAATAATCTCTCTATCCCTGGAACACGGTAGACCTGGAAACTGACCCATCACTATCACACAGACTCTCTTTGACATAACACATGTTTGCCCTGTTTTGGAAGAAACGCTGCCAATTCTGAACAACTTACTTGTCACACAGTCCCTTTTCTTCGAGCATACTGCATACCTCCCTGGCAACTAGAGGCCCCTGGAAACTCTGGCCCTTCAATATCTCCTTCTCCAGCTCTTGAATTGTCTGAAAGTATGGAACACTGTTGGTGTCATCATACACTAAGTGGAAGTTCTACTTTTAAGACAGCCACAAAATGCGTGAAATGTACAAAGTACAAAGCATGCTGTAATAGATACAACTCAGTACATCCAGTTTGGGGGGGGGGGGGGACATCAGCATATCATGGCTGGCTCAATGATGTATTCTGACATGCGCAGGTTTAGGAAAGGCACACCAGGTAAACATAAATCTTGTTGTCATGTATCATGAACAAAGTAGTGTTTTAGTGTTAGTACATCATAACCTCTGACAAGTCATTATTGTAACATACTTTGTAAATCAACACAGTTGCCACATTTAACTGGCTTGTACTGTAAGAAATATTATGGTACATACAAAACTTAAAGTCTATAGCCTTCTTAAGGGAGATCACAAATCAATCTCTTTTCAGGCTGGAATGTCAAAGTTGAGGCCTTACTAAGCCTATGTGAACCTTTACAGATGCACAGTTCATAGTTCACCAAGAAAACAAATGGCAAGTTGAGTGGGGCCCAGTTGAATGTGTCTTGATTTAGTGTGTTACAGCATCTACCATAGATTTCTCTGAGCAATCATATCCACGTTTACAGAAACAATCCAAAATAACAATTGATTTTTGCACAAAAAAGAGTCCCTCTGAGATTACGTAATCCTCTCCAACCTTATCCGACTAACAGCTGTTCTAAGACTACTTAGTCCTCTGTTACCTTGTCTGACTCCAGTCCACAACAGTCATTCTCAGAAAATACACTGGCAATCCCCCTAACATCCAACAGTCAACATAATCACCTATTCGCTGTCTGAACCCATCAACAGCTGTTCTGAGACAGCGTAATCCTCCCTTACCATGTCAAACCCAACAACAGCTGTTCTGAGGCGGCGTGATCCTCCCTTACCATGTCAAACCCAACAACAGCTGTTTTGAGATGGCGTAATCCTCCCTTACTATGTCAAACCCAACAACAGCTGTTCTGAGGCGGCGTAATCCTCCCTTACCATGTCAAACCCAACAACAGCTGTTTTGAGATGGCGTAATCCTCCCTTACTATGTCAAACCCAACAACAGCCATTCTGAGACTACACAACAGTACCATATCTCGTTGAACTCTACAACAGCCGTTCTGAGATAGCGTGATCCTCCCTTACCATGTCAAACCCAACAACAGCCATTCTGAGACTACACAACAGTACCATATCTCGTTGAACTCTACAACAGCCGTTCTGAGATAGCGTGATCCTCCCTTACCATGTCAAACCCAACAACAGCCATTCTGAGACTACACAACAGTACCATATCTCGTTGAACTCTACAACAGCCGTTCTGAGATAGCGTGATCCTCCCTTACCATGTCAAACCCAACAACAGCCATTCTGAGACTACACAACAGTACCATATCTCGTTGAACTCTACAACAGCCGTTCTGAGATAGCGTGATCCTCCCTTACCATGTCAAACCCAACAACAGCCATTCTGAGACTACACAACAGTGCCTTATCTCGTTGAACTCTACAACAGCCGTTCTGAGACGGCGTGATCCTCCCTTACCATGTCAAACCCAACAACAGCCATTCTGAGACTACACAACAGTGCCTTATCTCGTTGAACTCTACAACAGTTGTTCTGAGACGGCGTGATCCTCCCTTACCATGTCAAACCCAACAACAGCCATTCTGAGACTACACAACAGTCCCATATCTCGTTGAACTCTACAACAGCTGTTCTGAGACGGCGTGATCCTCCCTTACCATGTCAAACCCAACAACAGCCATTCTGAGACTACACAACAGTCCCATATCTCGTTGAACTCTACAACAGCCGTTCTGAGATAGCGTGATCCTCCCTTACTATGTCAAACCCAACAACAGCCATTCTGAGATGGCGTGATCCTCCCTTACCATGTCAAACCCAACAACAGCCATTCTGAGACTTCGCAACAGTGCCTTATCTTGTCAGACTGTACAACAGCTGTTCCAAGAACCCCCAAACATTGTTGATCTGACATTGAACCTAATCCTCCCTTACTCCGCCACTCCCATCATGCATTGCACATAGCTACTAAGTCAGCGATACCCTTACCTTGTCAGACTCCACAACCACCGCTCCCAACATGCATTGCACATAGCTACTAAGTCAGCGATACCCTTACCTTGTCAGACTCCACAACCGCCGCTCCCATCATGCATTACACGTAGCTACTAAGTCAGCGATACCCCTTACCTTGTCAGACTCCACAACCACCGCTCCCAACATGCATTGCACATAGCTACTAAGTCAGCGATACCCCTTACCTTGTCAGACTCCACAACCGCGGCTCCCATCATGCATTGCACATAGCTACTAAGTCAGCGATACCCTTACCTTGTCAGACTCCACAACCACCGCTCCCATCATGCATTGCACGTAGCTACTAAGTCAGCGATACCCTTACCTTGTCAGACTCCACAACCGCCGCTCCCATCATGCATTGCACATAGCTACTAAGTCAGCGATACCCTTACCTTGTCAGACTCCACAACCACCGCTCCCATCATGCATTGCACATAGCTACTAAGTCAGGGATACCCCTTACCTTGTCAGACTCAACAACCGCCGCTCCCATCATGCATTGCACATAGCTACTAAGTCAGCGATATCTCTTACCTTGTCAGACTCCACAACCGCCGCTCCCATCATGCATTGCACATAGCTAATAAGTCAGCGATATCTCTTACCTTGTCAGACTCCATAACCACCGCTCCCATCATGCATTGCACATAGCTGCTAAGTCAGCGATACCCTTACCTTGTCAGACTCCACAACCACCGCTCCCATCATGCATTGCACATAGCTACTAAGTCAGCGATACTCCTTACCTTGTCAGACTTCACAACCACTGCTCCCAACATGCATTGCACATAGCTACTAAGTCAGCGATACCCTTACCTTGTCAGACTCCATAACCGCCGCTCCCATCATGCATTGCACATAGCTACTATGTCAGCGATACCCTAACCTTGTCAGACTCCACAACCACCGCTCCCAACATGCATTACACATAGCTACTAAGTCAGCGATACCCCTTACCTGGTCAGACTCAACAACCGCCACTCCCAACATGCATTGCACATAGCTACTAAGTCAGCGATATCTCTTACCTTGTCAGACTCCACAACTGCCGCTCCCATCATGCATTGCACATAGCTACTAAGTCAGCGATACCCTTACCTTGTCAGACTCCACAACTGCCGCTCCCATCATGCATTGCACATAGCTACTAAGTCAGCGATACCCCTTACCTTGTCAGACTCCACAACCGCCGCTCCCAACATGCATTGCACATAGCTACTAAGTCAGCGATACCCCTTACCTTGTCAGACTCCACAACCGCCGCTCCCAACATGCATTGCACATAGCTGCTAAGTCAGCGATACCCCTTACCTTGTCAGACTCCACAACCGCCGCTCCCATCATGCATTGCACATAGCTACTAAGTCAGCGATACCCCTTACCTTGTCAGACTCCACAACCGCCGCTCCCAACATGCATTGCACATAGCTACTAAGTCAGCGATACCCCTTACCTGGTCAGACTCCACAACCCCGCTCCCTTCATGCATTGCACATAGCTACTAAGTCAGCGATACCCCTTACCTTGTCAGACTCCACAACCCCGCTCCCTTCATGCATTGCACATAGCTACTAAGTCAGCGATACCCCTTACCTTGTCAGACTCCACAACCGCCGCTCCCAACATGCGATTGCGTCCACCATGGCAGGTAGCTACCAAGTCAGCGATGCCACAACTCTCGAAGAAGGTATTCCTCTTTGACCCTGAAAGGATTCAGACATCTCTGAGGAAAAACCAAACAAATTAGGATACATGACATCTTTTCTATTTATCAGTGGAAATGTTCCGCAGCCTTATGCATCATAATATCTAGGCAAAATAAAGGTTTGTTTCCAGTTTCAACTCTAGTTTGAAGGAGACTCCAACAGTAGGATCTTTATAAAACACATGTCTAGTCTGCAACATAGTCCACTATTGAGTGTGCCAAAAATATTATACTTAATTGTGTCAATATATTAGTAGTTATAAGATGCACATGATACAGAGCATTACTGTTGGGTTCGCTGTGAGGAGCCAGCGTTCCTGGGACGAGGTTGGTTTTTGAGTGTTTATATTTGTATGTATATATTGTTATATTTTGATGTGTATTCTATCATATAAATGGGATTTGTAGCTGTAATAAGATACTGATGGTTGTTTTGATAATATATGCTTAAATACATGCCTGGTATACAGTAAATGTAACAAGAGTTTGCCACTAACGTGGCTAATTGTAAAAAAAGAAGAAGAGTTTGGAACCTAAGTCCATCTTGTTGCCATGGAAACGTAAAAAAAAATAATTTCTAAAATTTCTAAATAGCAAAAGGCACCAGTTCAGCATGTACTTGATAGACCTGCAAAGTTTCATGAAAAAATATTGAACGGTTTCTGAGTTATGCTCCAGAAACGAAACGTGACGGACGGACGGAGCCCCGTTTCTATATCCCCAGCCAACTTTGTTGGGCGGGGGATAATAATATGTTTAAGTATAGATTCTTGTAATTGTATACCATCAATTCAACCTTCTTGTACTTTGTTTATCATACTTATCCCTATTGTGGTGGGATCTCCATACCCCGATAGAACAGACAAAACAAATCCCATGAATTCCCTACAAGTATTTGCCGTCATTCCATAGACGTGATACCGCTGTTACAATTAAATTATTGTCCATATAATAACATTAAAAACAACTGAAAAGGATGGTAAAGCCAAACTCCAAATGTTTGTCACAGACTGGGTGTCCTTCATTTCAGCAAGATTTATTTGAAATCATACATAGGTAAGTTGGAAACATTATGACATTATGTGACTGACGTCATGTGACAATAATGGCTGCACTTGTCATTACCTGGAAAAAACTCTTCACCAAACATGATCATTTCCATAAGTCCCAGGCGAATGACAGCCGCCTTGGTGTTGTCTCCCTGTTTGATGCCATCCACAATGCCAGCGCCAATGGCAACCACGTTCTGGAGACAACAAGGACATACATGTACTGCATATCACTACAATGCCAGCGCCAATGGCAACCACGTTCTGGAGACAACAAGGACATACATGTACTGCATATCACTACAATGCCAGCGCCAATGGCAACCACGTTCTGGAGACAACAAGGACATACATGTACTGCATATCACTACAATGCCAGCGCCAATGGCAACCACGTTCTGGAGACAACAAGGACATACATGTATTGCATATCACTACAATGCCAGTGCCAATGGCAACCACGTTCTGGAGACAAAGAGGACATACATGTTCTGCATATAACTACAATGCCAGCGCCAATGGCAACCACGTTCTGGAGACAACAAGGACATACATGTACTGCATATCACTACAATGCCAGCGCCAATGGCAACCACGTTCTGGAGACAACAAGGACATACATGTATTGCATATCACTACAATGCCAGCGCCAATGGCAACCACGTTCTGGAGACAACAAGGACATACATGTACTGCATATCACTACAATGCCAGCGCCAATGGCAACCACGTTCTGGAGACAACAAGGACATACATGTACTGCATATCACTACAATGCCAGTGCCAATGGCAACCACGTTCTGGAGACAAAGAGGACATACATGTACTGCATATCACTACAATGCCAGTGCCAATGGCAACCACGTTCTGGAGACAAAGAGGACATACATGTACTGCATATAACTACAATGCCAGCGCCAATGGCAACCACGTTCTGGAGACAACAAGGACATACATGTACTGCATATCACTACAATGCCAGCACCAATGGCAACCACATTCTGGAGACAACAAGGACATACATGTACTGCATATCACTACAATGCCAGCACCAATGGCAACCACGTTCTGGAGACAACAAGGACATACATGTACTGCATATCACTACAATGCCAGCGCCAATGGCAACCACGTTCTGGAGACAACAAGGACATACATGTACTGCATATCACTACAATGCCAGTGCCAATGGCAACCACGTTCTGGAGGCAAAGAGGACATACATGTTCTGCATATAACTACAATGCCAGCACCAATGGCAACCACGTTCTGGAGACAACAAGGACATACATGTATTGCATATCACTACAATGCCAGCACCAATGGCAACCACGTTCTGGAGACAACAAGGACATACATGTACTGCATATCACTACAATGCCAGCGCCAATGGCAACCACGTTCTGGAGACAACAAGGACATACATGTACTGCATTTCACTACAATGCCAGCGCCAATGGCAACCACGTTCTGGAGACAACAAGGACATACATGTACTGCATATCACTACAATGCCAGCGCCAATGGCAACCACGTTCTGGAGACAACAAGGACATACATGTACTGCATATCACTACAATGTCAGCGCCAATGGCAACCACGTTCTGGAGACAACAAGGACATACATGTACTGCATATCACTACAATGTCAGCGCCAATGGCAACCACGTTCTGGAGACAACAAGGACATACATGTACTGCATATCACTACAATGCCAGTGCCAATGGCAACCACGTTCTGTAGAAAAAGAGGACATACATGTACTGCATATAACTACAATGCCAGCGCCAATGGCAACCACGTTCTGGAGACAACAAGGACATACATGTACTGCATATCACTACATCAACAGAAAGCATGAGGACTAAAATTGAAATTAATTTCGATAATTTCGAATCATGATTTTACCACATATTTCCAACTGTAATTATTTAACTGGGGCATGTATATACTGTATTACCATTGTATCATGGGCCTATGGCCTACAACACTGAATGAATTAAGTTAATTGATTGATATACTGTTGCATCCTTTTCAAAATAGCCAGATTCACATTGACAATTTATCCATCCATCGACAGACAGAAGTGCCTTAGGCACTGTTTCAATGTCCTTCATAACACAAATCTACAGGAAGTGTTGACTGGCTGAAAGTTGGGATATCCATTTGTATTGATGCTCTGACAGTTTCATCCAATTTGACAAGATCTTACCACATAACACAGTATGATGATGACATTTAGCATAAGTATCTGACATTATTGGTTGGTTAGCTTGTTTAACGCCGCACTCAGCAATATTCCAGCTATATGACGGCGGTCTGTAAATAATCAAGTCTGAACCAGACAATCCAGTGATTGATATCATGAGCATCGATCCACACAATTGGGGTTGATGATATGCATCAACCAAGTCAACGAGCCTGACCACCCGATCCCGTTAGTCGCCTTTTACAACAAGCATAGTCGCCTTTTACGGCAAGCATGGGTTGCTGAGGACCTATTCTACCCCGGATTCTACCCCGGAATCTTCACTGGTCGTATCTGACATTAAATGTAATGAGATTTAAAGTATCTGACATTAAATCTCATTACAGTGGTTAATGCTTGAGAAAAGGCATATCTGCACACATCTTCCTGAGGCAAGAGAGCCAACTGACTTTGAAAGTCCCGTATCCACCCTTGCCGAACTAGGCTGGAATTCCTGGGCTCGAACGTAGCGCCACCAATGGTTATTATGAGTTATGTCCCTTTTGAGCCTCTCCTATGGACCAATCCGATTCAATCAATTGCATTTGTTTCAAACAAAATGGCAGCGCCCAGTCAAGACGATCTGATCAATAATCAAGATCTATATTGTCATAAAACGAGTCTTACATCGCGAGGTGCATCAAATCATGCGAGCACATTGATTAAAAACAGGAAAAGGTTTTGAAAATATCTGTTGACAACGAATTGGCGGTGCACTTGCTTTGCAAATCCTGCAATCGACTGAAATCTGCATGACAGTTTACGAACTGGATTTCAATTTCGTTGCATGATTTTGATTGGACTATGCATAGTCTTGTTACTCCAGCCAAAATATAACTCCATAACACCAACATTGTTTGGCAAGGGCAGAAACTGGACTTTTATAGTCAGACAACTCCCTTGCCTCGAGAAGATGATCTGCACATGCCATATTTTCTTTCCAAATACTTCCAGAATATTGCAAAAGGCAGCATAAAACAATATTCTTGCACTCAGACCTACATTGAACTAATTCAGTTACAACAAAGCTGTTATTAACATAATGAATTGTGTACCTTTAGAGCTCCACACATCTCCACTGTGTCTGCATCCTTCACTACTGCCACTCTGAAGTAAGGAGTTTCCACTAGGTCCTTGAACAGCTGGCCAGTGGAGTCTGTCTTGGATCCTGGCAATGACAACACATCTCAACAAACCCTATATGAGACACAGGAACTCCCATAGTCTACAGAGGAACCTTGTGTAGCATGTCTGCTGGTATGTTATCACATTCACTGCACAACTCGAACTGTCAAGTACCAAGATGTCAGTTTATGCCCGTATGAAGCAGTGCATCCGAGATCCAAAGCTTTAAACGTTCATTCAACAACACCTTCATTTACACAATCAAATAAATGAAAAGTTTGAGGACTAAGTGTGAGACATTATCATTCAATGGTAAACATCAGTAATTGATCCCAAAAGAACCAATAGAGTTATGTCCCTTTTGTAGTTGATTCTCCAAGCTCCATTCCATATAGCACTTCGTTATCCTACCAGTAGAGGGTTCCGGGAGAGAAGTTGCTAGTTTACTTCGAGCACACATTTCTGTTAGCCGTTAACATTAAGAAGGTCTGAAGCAAGCTAGTGTTTCTATTACTTGTTTTCAGTTTTTGACCAGATGTAAACCAGTATTCTGTAAACCTACCTATCGTTGTCTCACAAAATTCCTCCTCTGCAACTTCTTTGGCAAGATTAGCACCCATGAGAACAGCACACTCAGTGCCTAGTTCCTGGGCTATGATGTGAGATATCAGCTGAATACCTCCCCCTGTGATGGCAAAACCCTGAAACATTCTTTACAACTAAAGATCCACTCCGGGCAGCCATGGCACAGTGATGCTTGAAACACATCAGAGGAATGATATCATATACATGAGTCACTAGTCAGGTGAATGGGGCTGGACGAGGTGAATGAAAATCCCACTTGTGACTTGTAACAAATTTATCATCATAGGTTCACACGTTTTATAACTTTTATTTGGTGAGTACTGTGTGAGACAATTAGACCTGTCTTGCGAGTGAGTGAGTGAGTATGGTTTTATGCCACTTTTAGCAACATTCCAGCAATACTAAGGTGGGAAACACCAAAAATGGACTTCACACATTGTACCCAAGTGGGGAATCAAACCTAGGTCTTAAGTGTGATGAGCAAACGCTTTAACCACTAGGCTGCTCCACTGCCATTCGACTTTTACCATGGTAACAAGCAGGTGACGTTACAACACTATGACATCATGATATCTGTACCTGCTAGTCTGCCAAATTTTATATCTGTTACAAGATAGCAACAGGCCAATCAGAAAGCTGGAAGATCCTTTAACAAGTACTGATAATGTTTAATTCAGCCGATTCAGGTCAACATATCTTAATATAACCCTTGATTAAATTAGTTACTGATGCAAAAGCCTTAACGGCAGCGCTTAACAATATTGCAGAAGAATAATTAGACCTAAGTACAATAGAAACTCTTCAAAACAAGACAGAGAGTGTATAATTAGTACCACAAATTTCACGGAATTTCCAGATGTCCTTTTCCCATGTGTTTCTAGCAAATTCAGTGATTAGTCTAGAAGGATTTAATCCATGGTGAAGCAGGGATAAATATAACAACAGATTCGCATGTAGCCAGCAGGGTTTGCACCTTATTAAAGTTACTGTCCCTTCTTCAAACTAACTGGTCTACAACTTTATGGCAGAGGCTGCAAAGTGGCCGAACCAGAGGTCAAGTAGCCGCATAGCTGGGCTCTGAAAACTTTAGAACTCCTCACCCTCAAACATTTTTTCCTGCACTCCAAGATTAAATCTTGGCTTCCATTTGTGTCATTTTGTTGTGATTTATGAGCAAATAAAGAAGTTGTTGCACACATTACTAAATGGCAACCAGATGTCATTCTACTGAGATGGTCAAATTAAAAAGAGTAAACATACACAGATAAGGGGTGAAATTTTGACTTGCCAGACGGCCATCTACTTTGTTTCAGTAAACCCTTTGTAATTTTAACTGGTCATGGGCCAGTGGGCCAGCAGTTAATTGACCCCTGTGAAGTGAGGTGAGGCATCCTGTGACTGACCTTGATCATGGAGATGGCGACAGCCCCTGGTTTGATGTGCCCCTTCATCTGCTCACACACCTTCTTGACAAACTGATGCGGGAGGACGAACACCAACATGTCTGCCCCTGTACACGCCTCGATCACGTCCGGGATTGCCACCTGGACATACAAGGGACATCCTCTCATGTCAATACACTTTGCGCCATATTCAATAAACGTAGGATACAACCATGTTTCTCCTATAATCTCAATGATGACCTTGAACTTTGACATAAATACGATTGGGTCATCCAGGATTTTGAAACGAATCACAAGCAATAATAGAGAAATTTACTGCGTCCTCTGCTGTGTGTTTGTTGGTTTAGTTTTATGTCACAGTAAACAATATTCCAGCTAATCCATGGCAGTCTGCAAATACTCAAGTCAGTGTCCTGAATCATCTAACCCCAAGATAGTTTATTGACTTCCTCATTATGTGTTCTCTGTCCATCATGTTATTACAGTACTATCCTTCTGTTGTTATTACTTAACCTACTCATGTTAATCTCTCTCCTGTATGCAATTGTTGTTACTGATAACCATATATATTCTGTACCATGTTCATTATTCACCCTTGCTTGACAATGGTATAAGGATCAATACCAAAATGCGACCATTACAGTGAGTGAGTGAATATAGTTTTACACCGCTTTTAGCAATATTCCAGCAATATCACGGCGGGGGACACCAGAAATGGGCTTCACACATTGTACCCATGTCGGGAATCGAACCCGGGTCTTCGGCGTGACGAGTGAATGCTTTAACCACTAGGCTACCCAACCGCCCCGCCGCCATTACAGTAAAATACATTGTGTCTACTTTGTCATCAGTCAACTTCTAAGAAACGCCTATCAACAATTAGTCAATTGACCATACCACATTTTCGGGGAGCTTTATCCCCGGGAGATATTTGACATTCTCGTGGTCCGTGTTGACGATCTCTGTCAGTTTGCGTCCGTCCACGATCTCTTCATACATGTACATCTTCACTTTCTTCTCAAACGCATCTGGCTGTCTCTGGACGTTATATCCGATAATCTTAGCGATAGCCGACCCCCTGAAATAAATAAACCAGTTGTGTCAGAGCATATCCTTTCACTTGTTTGTTTGGTAATTATCACCGCACTCAGCAATATTCCAGCTATATGACGGCAGTTTGTAAATAATTGAGTCTGGACCAGACAATCCAGTGATGGACATCATAAGCATCAATCTATGCAATTTGGATACGATGACATGCATGAACCAAGTCAGCAAGCCTGACGACCCAATTCCCTTCAGTCGTCTCTTATGAAAAGGATAGTCAGATCTTACGACAAGCATGGGCTGCTGAAGACATATTATAACCGGGATCTTCACACGTAGCACATCCTTTCAATACCATGTGGTAGATAGTAGTTCTGTATATATTAATCATGTTTTATTAATTAGCTTTTAATTTACTATGTACGACAGAAAATAAATAATCAGACCTCACACCCTAGCCTGTGTCATTATGTTATCTGGGACACATATGCACATATAATGGCTACAAAAACCATATGACACATATAGTGTGCAGCTGACTCACAGCAGACAAGGTGACAGGGTCCAGTCAACAAAAGTCAACAATACTCCAGTCATGTGATGGAGGCGTGTAAACAGTGGGAGATAAGCGATAAGATAGTCCATGTTCCTGGGATTATTATATCAAGATTAGATATTTTTCAACTTCTCTACAAAACCAGATATCTTTTTTATTTAAAACTATGACCCCAAATGTTTTTTTAAGAAAAACACCCTGCAACAATGAAATTTTTGTGGCTGGCAATTTCTTTTTATTGAAAGGTCTGAAGTATAATTATTGTTTTCAAAATTTTCAGGGACTATTTATTTTGTTCAATAAAATTCCAGGTCCACCCCAAAAAAATATCCCTTGCAGTCCCTTGCCTACTTGCCAAGTGTGGATGCCAATCTGAAACACCAAATTCCTGCCAGCTTCCAATACTATTCCTGATTCAAGAACAGAGACCATCTTCCGGGGCAAGGGAGTTAACTGACTCTAAAAGTCCAGTTTCAGACCCTTGCTGAACAAGGTTGGAATTTCTGGGTTCGATCGTAGCGCCACCACTGGCTATTACGAGTTATGTCCTTTCTATGTCCCTCCTACTGACCAATCAGATTCCACCTCTGATATCACTTGCATTTGCTTCAAACAAAATGGTGGCACCCGGTGAAGACGATCTGATCGATAATCAAGATCTTTATTTTAATAAAACGTGTCTTACTTCGCAAAGTGCATCAAATCACATGCGCACCTTCATTAAAAACATGAAAAGATTTAGAAAATATCTGTTGACAGTACACAGGCTTTGCAAATCCTGCAATCAACCAAAATCTGCACGGCAGTTTATGAACCGGCAGAACTTGTTGCTTATCCTCAGCTTGCACAGTTAGCATCCAGTAGATAAATGTTCATATGCAGGGGATACAACTTTTACAAGGTCGATATTTCTGGCAATTATGTTATGTGATTTTTTTATCATCTGGGTTAGTAAAGGTGTGAGGTATTAATTCCGGCATATCGGTGAATTGAGGTTCATTCTTTCAGCGATACGCATCATAATCAGTGTTCGAAATACCTGCCTGCCCGACCGTCCGAGACCGGTTGATTTCAAATCGGGCTGCCAGATTTTCAAATCCCCCTGCCCGACGGTCGGGTTATATTTCATATGTAAAAATATTCTAAATATTTCCCCATGATAAGCATTATTTACATGATGTATTCTAGGATATTAAATACAAATCTGACCGAAAAAGTGTTTGCTATTTCTTTTCTTGCATTACTTCATGTTCAATTAATTCGATTTAAAGTTTTAATTAAATTATCCTGAGAAACATATGATTATAGTGGGCAGGCAGGTTTTGGTCAGGGCTGGCAAGTATTTCAGCTAGCCAGTCCTGTGGTCTGGCTGAAAATTTTGGGAGTTTCATACCCTGTCATAATATCATTTTTTCATCCTTGATATATCAGGTGATTTCAAATTGGGATTTTTATCATGTGTTATATACTTGCTAAATGCCTTCGCTGCCCAAGATGGCTGTTTATTTATTGAATGAGTGAACATTATGTTGTACCAGCATCTTGTTTTGTTCCATTTGTGAACTTTAGTTCATACCTTAATGTATGAGATTGCTTCTGAATTAAAAATTTAGAATTTTACAATATGTCGTGATACGTACCGCAATACGGTCAAATGTGCATTGCAAGATATTGTGATACACTTTTAACCTCCAATACCCATTCCAATGGGCGAGGCAAACCAAAGGTGGATAGAATTAACAATGCTCATATCCCTGGTCCATATCATCTTATTAGAGGTGCAAGATCAAATATCGGGCCTTACTGTCAGCCTTATTTCCTGGAAGTCATGTTTCATATATATAGCCAAACAAACCCAGATTATGATAGCTGGCCACTTGTAAAAGAGGACTTGGTCACCAAGGATTTCCTTGGTCGTCCAGGTTTTGAAATTGAGGCATGGACCACCCATGTCCCCCAAACCCTGGATCTGCCACTGCTGTGCGTTCAGCCTTTCATATGATAACTGATTGGTACATCTTTATATTGATGTTGTCATCTCGACCTGTGTACCATTGTTTTGTACCCAGGATCTATTTCAATATAGCTACATGTACCCAGGCTATATATTACCACCCAAAAGAGCACACAATGAAACACTACTGGCACCCCGACTGCAGCAAGTCATAAAACAGATATAACAGGAAAGTCATGGTACACTGCATAGTCCAACAATCAATTGGGGAGATAGGTCGGGGACATATTTATCTTTGCCAAAAATGTTAATTGCGTCTACTTGCTGAAACTTGTCTCTTTCAGTATATTTTAGTGACAGCAAATAGACTTTATTAGCTGAGACGCAGATTGTATCGAAATGTACACTGACTATCAGGTCCAGAATGAACAGATCAGAATTATTGATAATAATTATTTGTCTATGAACCGATGGTTTGTTAATCAAGATGATTTCAGTTGACATAGTTCTGCCCAGATTAACAGAAAAAGGGTACATTTCAATGACACCAGGGTCAAGATAGACTCCATACGCACAAAAAGAATAGAACACAGGAACTAACAGCCATTTCATAATGGTACAAATCTATTATGTAAACCACATTTCTAATTTGAAATATGCCTGCATATTAAGTTGATTATAGGTCATATGAGACCTGTATAAAATTATAAACTTGGAATTAACTTTATTCTTAACACCAAACTTGGGTATATCACACGTAACTGACACCATCAACCTGTAAGGCTTCGTGTGCGAAATAGCATAATGACGGAAAGCGCACGTAAAATCTCCAATTAGTTAGTAAGGCTTTGTCTCATCAATAGTGACATTTAAATTATGTGCCAATTAGTTCTATATTTAACTGCATTATACATCACTGAGTAGATAGTTGCACAACGGCTCGTGGCCATTGCCTCACATAGCTATCACGAATTTAGGATACACCAACAGTGTCCATGACCGCAGTGTTGACATTGGTGACCTTGAGCCGAGGGCAAAGGCATGCGATATGATACAAGAGTTGTATAAACACATACAGGTCTATACAGAGATATATCTAGTTGTATAGCTTACCAGTTCCCAGACCCGACAATGCAAACAGATTTAGGTGCCATCTTGAAACTGCTGGTGCAAAAATATTTCTTTTCCTGCCGGGAAATCCAGAGCAGACACCTTCCAGGGGACACAACTCGGTATAAGGCGACACTGGTTGACCACAAAATCATTTCTGTGCTGCAGCTTTGTGGTTACCAGAAATATATCATCGTCGATTCGCAGTTGACATGGCTGAGAGCTCTTTGCTCAATGCACGACTTGCGGATGTGAGGAGGAGCGCGTTCTCACATCGAGCTGACCTACAGTAGCTGTTCTCTGTAACTATAGCATAACACGCTATGCATGAGTGAACTTCGCTCTTTGAGATGTTCCCACACAGATGCGACTAAGGCGAGCTGTGCGTTCAGTTGGGTGGGCATCCAACTGTAGACTAACATCTAGTCTCTGATATGAACTTATCTTCCAGAAAATGAACAGTTGTTAAAATATCTTAATAAAAATATAGTAAAGAGGTGCGCAGAGACTCTCTTCATTTTAATATACTGCAGTAATCTTGACTTCACAAACATTATAGACTTGCATGGGCTGTATTAGATATATTTGTATCAGGGTCTGTATGACTAATCCAATTGTATATCTAGCACTTACAACGGATCTATAATAATACATCCTTGATGTTATCAGCCGGGTCCAGACAAGGCAGGGGAAAGACCGCTCCCTGAAGTGGGAAGGCGATATTACTGAAACACCAGACCAAATAGAATAAAAACAACCATATAAAGCTTTAGGTTAGTTTTTAGTCGCACGAGGAAGAATGCGCCAGTGCGCCCACCTATCCTAACAACCCCACTACCGCCCCATATATGAAGTATATTTAGGGGATAAACATACTGTGTTTTCGATGTAGAGCTAGCTAGGTTACCTGTAGATATAACCGCGCTAAATTGACTTTTTGAATATTTGCTCAAGCAGTTTCTTTACTCCGTAATACTTCACTCGAACCTATGACAGGTACTGAAAGCATGTAGCAACGTTTGCAACCTCCAAATTGAAAACATTCAACACTTGAAACCTCACGCTGCGCGTTTGGTCTCAAATTCAGTTTAGCGCGTTAAATCTACAGGTAACCTAGCTTTAAACTGAACACACAGTATATTTATCCTCTAATTCGATACCCGTAAAATTTTCGAATTTGAAAGAAAGTACAGGTGTATCTTATCTACGTTTGAAACTCCAAATTGAAATCATTTGGTTTATCTCCATTCAACCATGACACAAATCCAAAACAACCGCGAACCTTTTGGTTATAATTATTATAAGTACTTTGCTTTGAGCTATATATTTTAAGAACATTGAAATGGCGAATTTATGGACCGTGGAGTGGGTTTTTATCTGCACATAATTATGTTGCTTTACCTACCCAAACCCAATGTCACCATAATGCTTGGACTAGGGCTGGGACGAGTCCAAATTTACTACCCGGGTACCCGATCCCCTATTACCCGGCCCTACCCGGTACCCACTGCAGGTCTCAAGAGTTGGGAACAAAATGTCTGATCGGGAATTGTTTTATCGCAGCCCTGGCCAAAACTATTTAGATTCTTGTATCAAACGATCAATACACTGAAGTTGACTGAAGTTTTATCTTTACTCAAACATGTACCAGTCAAAAGGAATGTGTGCATCGTCAGAAAGAAATGCGAAAATTAGCGACTTCTGGTGTAACCACTGAGCTATAGTGAGTTTTTGTCATCAAACAATATATCACGTGACTAACCACGGGTCCGGGTAGTCCTGTGGGTACCCGGGTCCTACTCAGGACCTACCCGACCCGAGTACCCGAGTTACCCGTCCCAGCCCTAGCTTGGACCATTTCAGTGGGACACAATATGCAAACACGTAGGCATATATTCTGTGAGTGATTTAAAGTGACACCCTGAGAGATAAAAAAACGACCTTTGTTTGTTTTGTTCTCACCACAATTATGACGTCATACAGAAGTCTGTTGTGGCGCGACAGACATGTCACAGAACGAGATGGAGTAGACGCAAAGTCAATCCGTGTTCATCTTTCTGAATGTTACAATACACTCTATTTACAAGTATTTGTTCGTCATGTTTTCAACGTGAAATATATTGCCACACATGCTGTAAACAGTGTAGGAATCGTTCGTTATTTAGGAACGTTAAAGAAGTAAGATCAGTATTTGAAAATGTCAAACAGGTGTGTTGCTAAAGAAATGCTTACGAATAAATATTTTGTTTCGCGGTAATACGATCATCAATAAAAACATGGTCTACTGTAGATTGGATCCCTCTGGCGGGCCAATCAGAATGCAGGATTCTGAACAGTCATGTAGACAATACCATTTATATTTTTTTTTGTGACAATTTAGTGACCCATGAAGATCCGGGTTATAATTTATCTTCAACTCATGCTTCTCGTAAGAGGCAAATAACGGGGTCGGGTGGTCAGACTCGTTGACTTGGTTTCATGACATCGTATCCAAATTTCGTAGATCGATGCTACAATGTCATTAAAATCAGACCTTAGTCCTCGCTACCGCTAAACAAAGCGGTAGCGAGAACTAAGATCTGATTTTCCTGAGATTGATCGGTGCTCATGATGTCAATCACTGGATTGTCTGATCAAAATTATTTACAGATGGCAGTCATATAGCTGCACTATTGCGTTATAAGAGCAAACAAATTTAGTGTATATTGTTGTGCAAATCGTATTTGCTTAACAGTCTATTAACGGATTTTTTATTTATAAGGTTGGTTTTGGTGAATCGATCAGTTTTAAGGTAGGAGATCAGCCCCTGGCATTTACTCGCTCATCTGTGTCGAGGAGCCCCAGCTACTGAAACACCAATTAAGGAACTGTTACATTCAGCTAATTCTTTCATTCTGTTTGCAAGTGACGAATATAGCCAACTTTACATGTATCATCAGAGAATTGGACACGATTTCGCTTTCGAAGCGGTCTACTACACCTGATCACGGGTATACAATTCTTGGTAGACGGTAATGGCGATCTTGGGGAGATTTTACGAGCTCTTCTAGCGGTGCCGATTGCGTACTCATCATTTGTCTTCGTGTAACGTGTATTAGAAAGAGGTCGGCACTACATGTCTCTCACACGTGGAAGATGGGGTGCAGCGGGCTGTATTAGACTTGCACAAGTCTCTAAGGCAATAATTATTAGTTTAATTAATATTTTCTAGATTATGTGAACAAGGTGTACCTATAAGAGACTGGAGTCCGAGATCTTAGACTTGTACTGTACACATATATATCTAGACTTGCCTATTTTAGGAGGATACAACTACAACACATCCATGGATTAATCTTTCAGTACAGCCTTGTTGCAAGGCTACGGGCCGTATGTGCAACCCGGTCCTCATCCAGTCAGGGGGGCGGTCGGGTAGCCTAGTGGTTAAAGCGTTCGCTCGTCACGCCGAAGACCCGGGTTCGATTCCCGACATGGGTACAATGTGTGAAGCCCGTGATATTGCTGGAATATTGCTAAAAGCGGCGTAAAACCATACTCACTCACTCACTCATCTAGTCAGGTGACAGATGTTTGTTACGATTGTTTACATACTTAGCCAGGTCACTTACATGTTTGTTTGTTGTTTGTAATGACATCATGAGCATCGACCCACGCAATTGGGATACGATGACATGCATCAACCAAGTCAGGGAGCCTGACCACTCGATCCCGTTAGTCGCCTCTTACGACAAGCATAGTCGCCTCTTACGGCAAGCATGGGTTGCTGAAGTCCCATTCTACCACTGATCTTCATGTCGCGTTCTGTACATGTTTGTTTAATCATTAGCTTTAACTTCAAGCCAAGCTATCCAGAGTAAACGGATATGACGCAAGGAAAACATATTGACTTCCTTCTTGTTTATGTACTCAACTGAATCATATGTGCTGTTTATATACATGGGTAATAACAACCATGCATCATTTTAGTATAATAGACGAAAGTTCAATCTTGGTAAGAGATACGTAAATGCATGAATTCCTAACACGCTTGCCAATCTAATTATACCGATTGAGGAAATATGAAAATATGAAATTTGAAATACCCACCCCCCACGTCCAAAAGCGTCAAATTATGTGATGCCATACTGGTGCGATTTGTAGAACTTCTGCTTTGAATCACTCTGTACAATATACGTTGTGGAAAAAAAGAATAAGAATAAGTAATTCAAATTTAAATTAATGGCGACGGACTGCTCCCCTCACATGCTTGTAGATAGGTACTACACACACACACACACACACACACACACACACACACACACACACACACACACACACACATTTTTTTTATAGAAAACAGTTGTATTTGAATCATGAAAATACAATTTGGGAACAAGTTAACTACGGCCTTGATTAAGAATAAGGAATAAGGCATTCGTGGTAATATATATAGTGAGCTTGATTATCTTCACATTATAATGTTTATACATTGGTGTGATACTAAGTCTTTTCTTCAGTTAATTTAAGAACATCATCAGGAACGCCGAATGGCATTCGTGGTAACTGATTTATTCCGGAATAATCCGAATGGGCATTCGGTAACTGATTTATTCGGGATACATTCGTGACCAACTCCATTCGTGACCAGCTCGTGTTATTCCGGGGCAAGCCGAAAAGCAGGTTACGGAAAGGGGCGAGTTGTGACGAATGTCCGGAATAAACAGAATGGACGATTCCGGAATACGACGAGCAGTGACGGATAAATCGCTTCCGTGTTGAAAAATACTCTAAATACGACTAATTAAAGATTATATGTATTTAATCCAATATTGACCCGACATATTTCAAGCATAAATCACAATACGTAAAGAAATATAGAGAAGTATATATGCATAAATATTATTTCATGCTGGTTTGATAAATCTTCTTCTTGGCTTAAAAAGACTGTTCCTGTAATTACGATCACTGATATAAGTTGTACGGAAATAGTATTATATGTTGTAATGTTGACATCGCAAAACCAAAATAGAAGGTGCAGATTCCCCTCCAAGGCAGATTTTTCGATGAATATTTGTGGTCTTGAGGAAATGATCAAGAAGACTTAAACTGAAAACGTGTTGTTCATTGACCAGAGTATCATACGGTAGGTACTGACTGTATGTTATGTTGATCTTGATGGCCTAATGTCTGGTGTTCTCCTTCATTGTCAAAGAGAAAATATGTCGGTATACCATCATGACTATGTTAGTTATTGCGTTGAAGAATGACGTGGATCTAAAATAAGTAAATTCATTGTGGGGCCTCGTTGTGTAAGATCGTCATAGCGAAACGGTTTCGATGTAGATCCTAACACCTTTATCAAGCAAGTGATCACTTGCTTGATAAAGGTGTTAGGATCTACATCGAAACGTCGCACTAATTGTAATAAAGAAGTTGTTCATCCATCATGTCCATAGAACTTGTCTTACTTGATAAGGAGTGTACAGATATTCTTAAATTGGACAAATTTGCTTATCTTACAACTAACCCTAATGATCATAAAGGGTTGTTTGATTAGCAAGGATTATTATTATTATTATTATTATTATTGGGGGGCACGGGTGGCCCTGTCTAAGGGATCCAAGGGTTAGGATAGAGTTGGGGGGTAACCTGCAGATGTAAGGAAGAAAACCCCAATTCCTGGGAGTGGTTATTCTGTGTTGGTTGTTCTGTTGTAAGAAGAGTATTATGTGTGGTAGCATTGTGTTGTTATCATGGTTATGGTAATGTGTGTAAGTGATTAGAATGATGTGTAGAAGTCAGGACAGTAGCCTACGTTCATTTAATGCTGAAGGGGGAAGTCAAGAAAATTTTTCCACGTTATCTGAGGAGCAGCAGCAGTCGTAGTCGGTGAAAATCACAGTGTTTTACCAACAGGAACTGACAGATAGGAAGTAAAACATGGATGAAATGGCCATGCAACAAAAATACCCCATAACAGATCTTGTGTCAAATGCATTTCCTGACATCACTGATACAACTGCTAAAACAGCACTCAGAACAGCACTACAGGAGATTCCAGAGGTGAGACAAGACTTATCTTGGATAACAACAGATGACATAACTTTTGAAAACTTAGTAAAGAAGGCAGTGCAGATTGAGAGGGAGCTGTTACAGCTGGTGAATCTGCAGCAGAGAGTGAAAGAAGATTATGAAGAAACAAGGTGAACGAAATGAGGCTCAGTGTGAGAAGATCAGCTTCACACTGTTCCAAGAATGGGAGAAGGTTTGGGTATACCACCCTAACCATGTGAACGAAACCATCAAGGAAAGTGTATTCTCAGAGATGGGAGACAAGGTCAAAACACTGTCAAAATGTAAAATATTGTGAAAAATGGAACGTGTTTAGCCCAACTACTAACAAAATGTATACAAATCTTCACTGTGTTTTGAGTTGCTGTTGAGCAATGGCCATAACTCCTGTAGATAAATTTTTCAATATGGCTGCAATGGTCATGATGAGTATTTTGAAAATTAGATTTGCACAGATGCAGGTGTTTTGCAAGGCTAGTATTAGTGGGTCAAGGATGTAATGTATCTGCTTGATTGGTCCAGTGGTTTCTGAAGAGATTGTTTGCAGAGCCTAGCTCACACTTTGAGAGAATTTAGACCATGGATGAAGTACAAAGGTCAAATCAAGATAATAATGTGTACCTTATCAATTTAAGAGTGATCGTCTACCACTGTTCATGGTTGTCATCAGTTGTTATTGTGAAAGGCATGGACTACATTCTTTTGTTCTCTCAGGGAGCATAGTCACTGACATGATTGACATAGAGGGAATTGGGAGGCTCACCCGAAAATATGTCAGTTTCTAGGGGAGGGTCACAAAAAATATTACCCATATTTGGGGGGTGTCATGAAAAGAATTGACATTTTATAATATGATGTAAAGTGCATTTGCAATTTGTATTATACAGGAGGGTCATGAACAAAATGTATGAAGACATGGGAGGGTCATCCCAAAATATGACAAGCTTTAGGGGAGGGTCATTATGTTCAGTACATTTGTGCACCAAAATTTTCTGACACCCTCTCCCCCCCCCCCCCCCCCAAAAAAAAAAGCCCCACCCCCTGTAATCATGGTAATAAATGACTGGTCCCTATGAGTAATCATGACACTACTAAATCATGACAATGGTATCATGGTTTGCTTGTTTTCTCCAGATCATGTCGGACTCTGAGATAGAGAAGATTGAGGTTGTCTCCAATGAGGAAGTCCGCTACCAGCGATCCGAGTTTGCATCTGTGATATTTCACAATGTCGCTGACACCTACCCAGCAGATGCCCATGTAGAATGTTCGTACACACTTACCATCGACATCATCCCCTCCACCCGGGACTGGGTGGGCATCTACAAGGTGGGGTGGATGTCGTCCCGGGACTACATCTACTACGAGTGGGCTCCTCTACCCAAGAACTATGAACAGGGGAAAGAGATAGAGGCCACAATACTTTTCCAAGGTATTTTTTCTGTGAATATTCCAAGTGTTGATTTTGTTATTCTGGACAAGGGTTAAGATACATGTTGTTAGAGCTTTTTGTCTTCTGTTTTCCCCATTATAAGCACCTGGGTAGCTTAGAAAATTGAAAAAGAGAGGCATGCATATCAAAACTAACACAACGAGTTAAAGTGGTAGAGAACAAATTTAAATCACACGTCGCTGAAACTATACATGCTATAAGTTTGTTTTATAATACTTCCCATGCAATTATACCCCTTCTACACTGCTGTGTTTTTCTGTAAAATAATATGTAAGGGAAACAAAAAAAACACAGAATGCAAATGTTCAGGCTTAGGTTTGTGTGCTTATTTAAAGTACTTACAGATTACAGCAATAGAAACAAACATGTTTAGTCCACTAGTCCTTATAATGACAACATATAGCAAAACCCTTATAAAAGGCAAATTTCTACTAGTCCTTATGATTGCTTAACTATTTGGCAGTTTGGCAAGGATTGTGGGGGCTAGTGCCAATTTCTATCGCTGGATTGGTCTAGAAGTGTATAAGGGGGTGGTTACTGGAACAGGGCACTTAATACGGTGAATATGGGACATGTTATTTTAGTTTTAGTACAGATCTTGAGTGGATGACAATGTTTAGGAAAATAAAGTATGTTTATGTGATTATCCAGATGGTGGGAACACATCACTTTTTCTGGAAGTACCGTATGTGACTGTAGATAAGCTGATCTCATAGATAAGCCGAGGTATCAACTTGGTCCTTGAAATCTGTATCAAAATGTTATGTGCGGTAGATAAGCCGGACCCCCAACCTAAAACTACGTCTCATCATGATCTGTCATCGGAAATAGAATATCAACAAGTCCGTATTGAATTATGCAAGTTAATCATTGTTAATCATGTCGTTACACCATTGGTAATAAAAAGTGTTTAACTGTCTACCTAGACACATGTTTGTAATCTACGTAATCAATTTTATTAATTTTAATCAAACTTTCATTCAATAATGTTTACCTTTATTTCGGTGTCCATCCAGTACTTACAACTTCCGTTTGCCCCGTTCCATAAGGTCGGCTTTACCATCTCACCATTATTTACAGCAACCACGATCATATTACCGCTATTGACATCTTGAAACAAACCTTAGTTGACAGTAAATGGATAGATATATCATAACTGCCATACTTTGACTCCTTAAAAGTAATATTTGTTGTAGTTTGACGATTAAATGTCAACGTATTGTTCCTGCCATGGAAATAGCAAGATTGTGCGAAAACCTTAACAGTGATTTGTCAAATTGTTCCATGCCAAAAAAGTATCAGATAATACACCAAAGATGACAATGATGTCATTGATGATAATGATGGTGTTGATGATAATGATGACACTGATGACAATGATGTCATTGATGATAATGATGGTGTTGATGATAATGATGACACTGATGACAATGATGTCATTGATGATAATGATGGTGTTGATGATAATGATGACACTGATGATAATGATGACATTGATGATATTGATGACATTGATGATAATGATGACACTGATGATAATGATGACACTGATGACAATGATGACATTGATGATAATGATGGTGTTGATGATAATGATGACATTGATGATAATGATGGCGTTGATGATATTGATGGCGTTGATGGTATTGATGGCGTTGATATTGACAGCTCACACCTTGCCAAAGGATGATGGTGAGTTCTACCAGTTCTGCTATGTGTCAAGTGCTGGTCAGATCCGTGGTGCAAGCACACCATTCCAGTTCAAGCGACCAAGTGCTGGTGACTTTGTGGAGGTGGAGGATGATGACACAGACATGCTGATCATCAGGTCACGGACGATGGTCCTGCAGGAGAACCTCAAGAAGAAGGAGGAAGAGAACATCGACCTCATGAAGGTATGGGCCAAACTGGGAAGTGGCTTCTATTGAATCTAGTTCTTGATAGGTTGACAGGTTCAGTTGAAATGTGATTGCCATATAGAAGTGAGGTTGAGAAGCAGGAAGAATATTAGGCACTCAGCCACCATGTCCATTCAGCAACCATGCCCTCTCTACCACCATGCCTACTCACCCACCATGCCCACTCACCCACCATGCCCACTCTACAACTATGTCCACTCAGCCCCTATGCCCTCACCAATGGTGGGTGAGTGGGCATGCCTACTAACCCACCATCCCCACTCAGCCACCATGCCCACTCTACAACCATGTCCACTCAGCCACCATGCCCACTCACCTACCATGCCCACTCACCCACCATGCCCACTCACCCACCATGCCCTCACCCACCATGCCCACTCTACAACTATGTCCACTCAGCCACTATGCCCTCACCAATGGTGGGTGAGTTGGCATGCCTACTAACCCACCATGCCCACTCACCCACCATGCCCACTCACCCACCATGCCCACTCACCTACCATGCCCACTCACCCAACATGCCCTCATCCACCATGACCTCACCCACCATGCCCACACTACCACCATGACCTCACCCACCATTCCAACTTGCCCACCCACCATGCCCACTCCACCACCATGACCTCACCCACCATGCCCATTGTACCACCATGCCCACTCACACACCATGCCCACACACCAACCATGCCCACTCATCCACCATGCCCACTCTAGCACCATGCCCACTCTAGCACCATGCCCTCTACTACCATGCCCACTTGCCCAATCTTTCTAATGTTTAAGCTATACTTGAAGTGATTCAAACAAATTGAATATAGTTTGTCTATTTCACATGAGTGGGTCTAAATACTCTTGATAATCTCAGCTCTTGCATCATTAACTTCATAAATACTACTCAACATTTACTAAGGACCAAAATAGTCATCTTTCGTCAGAGGTGTGGTCCCTAGCAAGTGTTGTGTAGTGTACAAAGGATATCAGAGTATTTAGCCACAATCAGCATGACCAGAAAACATATAAAATTGGTATATATCTATTTGTATTTCCCACAGGCGGTGGGATAGCCTTGTGGTTAAAGTGTTTGCTCGTCATGCCAAAGACCCAGTTTCGATTGGGTACAATGTGTGAAGCCCATTTCTGGTGTCCCCCGCCATGATATGGATGGTATATTGCTAAAAGAGGTGTAAAACCATACTCACTCACCTACTCGTATTTCCCAATCTTAAACATGTTGGATGGACTAGAAAAAAGAAAGATACAACTACAAATATGACAAAGATCTAAAAGTGACTTAAAAAGCCCTCAATAATAGAAGCCTTTGTTCTGGTGGAAAAACGTGAGACAAAATGGGTGTGAGTACACTATGCTGGACAGGCTGAGGTGTCTACAGTGAGGGAGTGTGTGTTGTTACAGTACAGAGACACCATGTCCAAGGAGGTGACCAGTCTGGCCGACAAGATCACCGATCTGCAGAAGAAGCTGGACAAGTCCGAACAGGAGCAAAGAGACATGCAGAAACTGTACAAGGCCAATGAGAAGAAAATAGATGAAATGTTGTCAGATGCTAATGACATGACGATGGTTCACGATGAGCTTCGGTCCAAGATGGATGAAAAAGAGAAGGTGCGTTTTAAACTATTATGAGAGAGTATGGGGCAGTGTTACTGAGTGACCAGATCGACCATGACCGTTATTGTCACACCTGTCCTGTGCAACACCCAGGTTTATTTCCATTACCAGGTTTAAATTTAAATACATGGATGAGCAGGCAGAAAAAAGACGCTATGTATTAAAAATTCCAAGGCAAAAGCAGGCAGACTGGGGGGCATCAGCCCGATCATCATGATGGTTGAAATTGTGCAGCGCGTCAAACACCGGGAACTCATTTTCATTCCAGTAAGGGGAATCCCCTTTGAGGCGGAATGTTTCGTTTGGGGGATGATATTGGCTGTTATTTATCGTCAGTTTAAGCTATTTCTATTTTTCAAATTTAATTTTGGTCAAGCATTTGTGATTAAGTATGCCCTAAAGTATTAAGACCTGCAAAGTTGCTTTGTTGCCTTTACTTGCCCTTTAAGCCACTGTACATGGATAATATAGTGCTCAAAAGAAGAAACCGTCCGATTTTTTCATGTTACTAATATTTCGCCATGACACAGTAACTATAATAATATGAAAGAATCTGGTATCCTTAACCTTTTTTTTGTAGCATTTGCTGCCCAGTCTGGACTGAAATCTAAAAGTGTCCCTATCCCACGTTGTATTCTAGATTGTAATGCTTCCTTTGGTTCTGATTTGGTTAGAATTAGTAAATTGCCCAGGGCACTGATAACAGTTGAGGATGAGTTCAGTCCTTGTTTATGATGAACACTGAAGAGATAGACAGGATGATGTAGTAAACTGATTGTTTGTGTAGGAACGTCAGAGTCTGGTGGAGAAGGTGTCACAGCTGCAGAGCAATGTGGGGGTGCTCCAGGAGAAGATGAAGGCCCTGCAGAATGAGAAGGATGAGTTGGAAGGCACGAACAAGACCTTGCAGGAGGAGATGGACCTCTACAAGGTCAGTATGGCACTTGTATTCTCTTTGAGAGTTGGCCAGAATAGATGGCTCTCAGTATAGCACTCATATCTCCAGGAGAGTTGGCCAGAATAGATGGCTCACAGTATAGCACTCATATCTCCAGGAGAGTTGGCCAGAACAGATGGCTCTCAGTCTAGCACTCGTATCCTCCAGGAGAGTTGGCCAGAATAGATGGCTCACAGTATAGCACTCGTATCCTCCAGGAGAGTTGGCCAGAACAGATGGCTCTCAGTATAGCATTTGTATACTCCAGGAGAGTTGGCCAGAACAGATGGCTCTCAGTATAGCACTCGTATCCTCTGGGAGAGTTGGCCAGAACAGATGGCTCTTAGTCTAGCACTTGTATCCTCTGGGAGAGTTGGCCAGAATAGATGGATCTCAGTATAGCACTCGTATCCTCCAGGAGAGTTGGCCAGAACAGATGGCTCTCAGTATAGCACTTGTATACTCCAGGAGAGTTGGCCAGAACAGATGGCTCTCAGTCTAGCACTCATATCTCCAGGAGAGTTGGCCAGAATAGATGGCTCACAGTATAGCACTCGTATCCTCCAGGAGAGTTGGCCAGAACAGATGGCTCTCAGTATAGCACTTGTATACTCCAGGAGAGTTGGCCAGAACAGATGGCTCTCAGTCTAGCACTCGTATCCTCCAGGAGAGTTGGCCAGAACAGATGGCTCTCAGTCTAGCACTCGTATCCTCCAGGAGAGTTGGCCAGAATAGATGGCTCTCAGTATAGCACTCATATCCTCCAGGAGAGTTGGCCAGAACAGATGGCTCTCAGTATAGCACTCGTATCCTCCAGGAGAGTTGGCCAGAACAGATGGCTCTCAGTATAGCACTTGTATACTCCAGGAGAGTTGGCCAGAACAGATGGCTCTCAGTATAGCACTTGTATACTCCAGGAGAGTTGGACAGAACAGATGGCTCTCAGTCTAGCACTCGTATCCTCCAGGAGAGTTGGCCAGAATAGATGGCTCTCAGTCTAGCACTCGTATCCTCCAGGAGAGTTGGCCAGAATAGATGGCTCACAGTATAGCACTCGTATCCTCTGGGAGAGTTGGCCAGAACAGATGGCTCTCAGTATAGCACTTGTATACTCCAGGAGAGTTGGCCAGAACAGATGGCTCTCAGTCTAGCACTCGTATCCTCCAGGAGAGTTGGCCAGAACAGATGGCTCTCAGTCTAGCACTCGTATCCTCCAGGAGAGTTGGCCAGAACAGATGGCTCACTGTATAGCACTCGTATCCTCTGGGAGAGTTGGCCAGAACAGATGGCTCTCAGTATAGCACTCGTATCCTCTGGGAGAGTTGGCCAGAACAGATGGCTCTCAGTATAGCACTCGTATCCTCCAGGAGAGTTGGCCAGAACAGATGGCTCTTAGTCTAGCACTTGTATCCTCTGGGAGAGTTGGCCAGAACAGATGGCTCTCAGTATAGCACTTGTATCCTCTGGGAGAGTTGGCCAGAACAGATGGCTCTCAGTATAGCACTCGTATCCTCTGGGAGAGTTAGCTTGAAGTGGTGGCTCAGTGCTGAAACATGCTCATCCAAAGTTCTAGGCTTTAAAATCTGTCAGTTTCCTAAGATATGGACTATTTTGAAACCATATTTTATGAACCGCCTGCAACTACAAGCTAACTTAAGTGGTGAGCCAAATGTATAGGTGTCATACATCAATTTCTTAGGTTGAAGATGATGCTATCAGCCACCAGTATGTTGAGTTACACATTTGCTTCTCCTGGTTTCATTGAATTGTATTAGCAATAATTATAATGATGGGACCATTACTTTTCAGAACCATCTGAGCCAGTCTGAGACATCAGTGGGTAGCCATGTGCAGGAGATCGAGAGCCTGAACAGTCGCCTTGCAGAGAGTGGGAAGATCACCATGAAGCTGCAGAGGAAGATAGAGGAGCAGGATGAGGCTATGGATGCCTGTCGCGAGGAACTCACACAGGCGAAGATGGAGCTCCACCAAGAACAGCGGCGTATGGAGCAGCAAGTCCATGTCACACACTCGGAGCAGGTGAACACAGCAGGGAGACAAAGTCGTCACAAATTTCAGAATATTGCTAATTCGTATTACAGAATTTATAGATACGAAAACAAAAGTAACTGCTAAGTTGGTCTACTATAAGTAAATGGTATTTGTCACATGCTTGATCATCTGTTCTAGGAGAATGTTACTGCTCTGACTGAGAAGCTCCGCAATGCTGAAGACAAGCTGGCCTCGGAGGAGAACACCAAGGAGTTAATGAGGCAGGAGTTGAAGAACTTCCGGGATGCTCAAGACAAGATGTCACAGGATCTAGCAGTGAGTACTTCACTGGTTACACATGGGATTGGGTCATACAGACATAACAGAAGAGGTACTTAAACAACATTTACAGATCAGGACTAAGAGTTGGAGTGTCACACGATGGGTAGAGGTGCTTTCACTATGTGCCCCAACTAGTCAAGAGTATTAAAATAGGTAGATGTAAAGTGAATGTAGTGCTAATGTGATCATAACTCCCATACATTAACATTGACTGTCATAGCCTGGAACAGGGACCAGGGTAGTAAGTCACAGGATAAATACAGATGCTTGAAATATGTTTCCCTACGTGGTTTCCCTACCAGGGTAGTAAGTCAACATCACAAGAAATGTGGGGCGTTGGGGTAGCCAACTGGTTAAAGCGTTGGCTCTTCACACCGAAGACATGGGTTCGATTCCCCACATGGGTACAATGTGTAAGCCCATTTTCCGGTGTCCCCCGTCGTGAATTGCTGGAATATTACTAAAAGCGGCGTAAAACCATACTCACTTACAAGATAGGTATAGGTGCTTTAACTTTTCCGTTTCCCTTCCAGTCGAGTAAGTCAGAATGTCACATGATGAAGACACAGATATGCCGTATGGAAGAAGACTTCGCCCAAGAGAACACAGTCCTCCTGTCTGAGAACTCAGCCATTCAAAGAGACCTGGAGAACGTTCTCAAGGTAGGAACATTCAACAGTCGCAATACCAATATGTCACCAGGGTTGTGTGGAAAGTAAGAATACACAATGTTCAGTACACATCATTGATGTATTCTCATAGTCATTTCTAGTTATGAATGTGGCATAGCCATGGCAGTTACTCTGTTCTCCCATTTGTATGAAACATGTTCAAGCCCCCTTGCCCATCAGCATCCTTTTCTGTAGATGCTTTTCTCATCAGATTGCCTACTGCCTAGTTTACAAATTCAAAATACATGTTACTTGACTCAGGCATTGGACTTGATCCCGTTTTGGATAGGTCACCCCCCTCACATCCGCACACACAAATGCATGCATGCAGACAGTCACAGACAGACAGACAGACACACAAAGACACACACACACACACACAAAGGTGCTGTGTTTCAGACTCACTCACTGTCCTATACTGCATGGTCTGTGTTGTGTTTCAGGAGAAGGAGGTCCTTCAGGCCAAGATGTGCTCCCTGCAGGATGAACTCCTCAAGACTCAGGAGAACGTGGAGTGTACAGAAGGGCCGATGTTTGCTCTGCAGCAGGCCAACAACGGACTGAAGCAGAGGCTCCTGCACCTGAATGAAAGATACAACAAACTCACAGACGAGAAGGTACCGCTCGGTCTTTATACCACTGTGCACATATGTATTGTACTCCGTCTCATATTAGGAAGCTTCCATTTGATTTGTAGGGTGAGTGTGTGAATTTTGTTTGAGTCCAATCTACTTTTTGTCCCAACTGTTTTAAACAGACTGTTTCTTTACTGAGCGCCATCAAACATCCTATTCATTTGCACTATTAACACAAAAAGTTATGTTTGGGTATTACACACTAAAAACGTTTTTTACCAATATCATCAATCTACTCATGTAAGGCATTTTCCACTATTCATTACTATTCAAAATCTTTCCAACCACCCAATATATATAGAACGGATGCTCCAACAGTAAAACATGGTTGCATGAAACTATCTTATTACTAATGTTAGACAACATAAGAAAAACATGTTCCTCTGATAGCACACAGGGTTGTGAGTTTATGACCCGGATTTAAATCTGTCATTCATCTGTCCCTTTGCCCGTGTATCTGTTTGCCAGCACTGAATTGTTTTCTCCCTGGCATGTAGTCCTCATCCAGTCTGTCCATGTTTCGTTTCTGAGCATAAGTCGAAAATCGTGCCCAAAAATGTATCCAAACTTGGTACATGTATTAACCAGAGGCTGAAGTGTTGCATTTTGCTATTGTGGGGGCCAGGGGTATTTCATCTTCTGATGACTCTTATAATCATTGTTTTCCTATCCCTATAAAAATCCTATTTCTTCTGCATGTTCTACATGCCCCTAACTGCAACCAAATAGAATTCAGAGTGTACGCCAATACAGCATATTATATTATCATTGCAACTGTTTTTATTACTTATAAACCCTTGTTGTGATTCTTGATAAGAATTCCCTAGCAACCTATGCCTGGAAGCAACTTGATAAATCAGGTTGTCAGGCTTGGCGACTTAGTTGATTGCATGTCATCATACCCTGTTGGCAATGATTATTGGTCGTAATACCCATCACTGCTTTATCTGGTCCTGCTGCTGTCATGGAATATGCTGAATATTGCTGATCTCTCTGTTGTATGATTTACTGACTTTAAAGGTCAAGGTTAAGGTCACCACTTACGAGTATACAAACGGATGATCTTTTTCAGGATAATCACCTCAGAACACAGACAAGTGTTGACTTTGTCTTGTTGTATTGGCTTTCTTGGAAGGTCAAGGTTACCAGAATGACCTCTGCGGTAATGCCAGGTCTGATTAGGCACTTTGCAGTTTAATGCAAACTCAAAAATGCAAAAATGTCTCATCATCAATGAGAAGGTTAGGAAACTAATGGGTTTTTAGTTCTTACCTTTGTTAACCATGTAGGCCCTGTGTAATGTACAGAGGCAGACCAGGATCCAGTGAAGTGTTGAATGGAGGGGATGTGTTCTGTTCCAGAAACAAGCTCGAGTTCGAGAGCGTGAGTTGAACCGAGAGATAGTGGATCTGAAGGAGAGGATCCACATGTGCTCGGAGGAGTACAAGCAGATCTACAAGGAGAACAGGAAGCTGCAGAAGAAAACAGACAAGCTTCTAGGACACCGTAAGTTAGCTTGTCAGATAAATAATCATCTCATTTCACAGCTCATCCTAACCCCATGGCAATGTCAGAGAGGGATGCATCATCAATATATTATGGTTCTGGCTGTTTCACATGTCCTGAAACTGAAATATTACTGTATATAGGTTTCAATCTAAATTTGATCTTATGATTGTACTATTTCTGTCAGCTCAACGTACAGTCTCTCTTAACTGCTTTATCAAATGTAGAGCATTATGAAAATGTTGTGTTCAGACAGACTTAGATTGACTTGTGATCACCCGTGAAGATCCGGGTTAGAATAGATCTTCGGCAACATATGCTTGCCGTAAAAGTCGACCATGCTTGTCGTAAGAGGCAACTAATAGGATCGGGTGGTCAGACTCGCTGACTTGGTTGATGTATGTCATCATTTCCCAATTGCCTGGACCAATGCTCATGATATCAATCACTGGATTGTCTGATCCAGACTCAATTATTTACAGACAGCTGTATATTGCTGGAATATTAAAAAAACAAACAAACGACTGAACAAAGACTTGTGATCAGTGAAATACTCAAGATAAAATACCTTCCAACAGGGAGATGGAGAGACACAAAGAGCGAGAGTGAGAGTGTGACCTCCGAGAAACTACAAACATCCTCCAGCAAGTCTACCCCAGGTGAGCTAGGTGACTGCCACCAGAACCACATGGTGGGCAGATGTGTGTTAGCCTAACAAACAGTTCAGGGAGTGCACCAACAAGATTTGAACTCTGAAAGAGTGTATGAATTAGTTCAGGTAGTCTATACTTCTATGCTTAATATAACATAGGCCTGTACTTTAGTTGTTTATTTATGACACGGACTGATTTTGTAAACCATTAGTACCATTACTGGATGGTAGAAACTCTCATTTAATTCACATGTCCAGATGATGATGTCAGTGTTTGAAACAATTATAAAACCCAACAAGACAGTCGGGCCGGTGACCTATAAATGTTGCCTGCCCATCTTCAAAGTTACCTGCCCACATTCAGACATTACAAACATTGAAAATTCATGAAAAATAAGAGATAAACCATGTCTTCATTCAGTTGAAATAATGCAAACAACAACGTGAGAATGTACAAGGAGGTAAGATAAGATGGAACACGCAAGTAGACTTAAAATTATCTGCCAGTCAGTCGGACAGATGGAGGAAAATTTTATGCCACCCGACAAAAAAGTAACCAGCCCTTGGCGGGTGGGCAGACGGGCAGACGGGCAGGCAGGCAGGCAGGCAGGCAGGCAGTTTTGGACACTGGCTGATGTATACAATAAAACCGTAAGGTAAATTCCCCTTAACCTATGGGTGTGAGTCGGGGACAGTCTGTGATGCAGATTACTCTGTTTCAGAGCGCAGTATGTCGTGTGAGACTGGGACAAGGACGTCAGTGATGGGTGTGTCGGAGCTACAGGCATTGCTGGCCACAGAGAGACAGAAGAAAGACCACTACAAGCAGCAGCACCGCGAGGAGAAGGAGCGCCTGGAGACCCTGCGGCGTCACTACCACGAGGAGCTGCAGGCCAAGGATGTGGAGATCACCAGACTGAAGCAGCTGGCCACCAGACGGGATTCGGGATCTGGAGACATTGGGGTGCTGGAGCAGAGGGTTATGTCACTCGAGGTACACAATACTTGGCGGGTTCTTGACAAGTCAGACATGCATGCTTTTTCGTCAGTGATTGTATTTTGGATTATTAACAAAAATCACAATTTTGCAGACAGATTTTTTCTTCAGTGAGATTACCATGTAAGCATTATTTTGATAATGTCATATTTATTTCTTGATGTCATAGACATTATGATATCACAGACATTGTGACATGACTGACACCACTGAGTCTGTTACAGAAATACCTGGAAGACAAGCAGAAGATGATTGATGAGCTGAACCAGAAACTCCGAGATGTCAAACTGGTGAGAATGTGTTGAATGACATCAGTGAATGATAGAACAGTTGCCCAAGTTCATTTTGACCACTGTCACATATTTCTCTTTAATTTCCAAGATAGCTGTGGAGCAGTCGGGTAGCCTAGTGGTTTAAGCATTCGCTCTTCACGCTGAAGTACCGGTTCTCGATTCACAACATAGGTACAATGTGTGAAGCCCATTTCTTGTGTCCCCCGCCATGACATTGCTGGAATATTGCTAAAAGCAGCATAAAATTAAACTCACTCACTCACTCACTCACTCACTCACTCACTCACTCACTCACTCACTCACTCACTCACTCACTCACTCACTCACTCACTCACTCACTCACTCACTCACTCACTCACTCACTCACTCACAGATAGCTGAAATCATGATACAGGGTGAGCGGTCTGTGTCTACACATGAATAACCTTAGGCTCTGGTGACAGGTTCTTGTAGCAGCTCAAAGCACTTCCATTGAAGCAATCCTTGCACTATGACGACCATAAGCCTATGTAAAGTATGCGAGTTAGGATCACCTTAGCGTTTAGATAACTTTGTGGAACAGGAGCCTGACTCTTGATATTTCTGAGGATTTAATTACATGTTACTGATCTATGTCGATTTCCCCTTAAAATGCATCTATCAATAACAAGGAAAGAATTTTTTAGCAATTTTTGGACACATACACAACTCTGGTTACCTCTGGTTTATGCATTAAGCTGTCACAGTTGCGTCCCTTGGGCAAGCCAGAAACCCATGATTGTGGGTTCGAATCCAGGTTCGCCCCGATTATGTTTCTAGGTTTGTCAGCATCATAACCGTGCTCGTGGGTTTCACCGAAGTGGTAAACGTCTGAGATCTGCATCACTTCAGGCTTTCCTCCCACATTAAGCTGACACGCCGCGATATAACTGGAATACTGTTAACTCACTCTCTTACTCAAGTATCAACAGGACGATAATATGTGAATCTCATTCTTGATATCCCCTGCCTTGGTATGGTATTAAAAGTGTGCACTCACTGATCAAGGCCTTACAAGCATGTGTGCAGAACCATGATGCCTGTTGCAGGAGTGTGAGACGCCGAAGCCAGCCAAGAGAAGCACCATCCCCAGGAAGACAGAGCCCGAGGTTGTGTGCCCAGTGAAGAGTGAGGCCCGGTCCTCCTCACCCAAGCTCATCTACGGCAACCCGTACAAGGAGGAGTCCAAGAAGCTGACCCTGCAGGAGCAAGCAGCAATGTCCCCCCCTGCTGCCGTCTCCCAACCCCCACAGACCCTGCAGGAGCAAGCAGCAATGTGCCCCCCTGCTGCCGTCTCCCACCCCCCACAGACCCTGCAGGAGCAAGCAGCAATGTGCCCCCCTGCTGCCGTCTCCCACCCCCCACAGACCCAGCAGATGAGTCGCTACGAAGAGCAGGAGGAGGTGTTTGTTGATGCCTCGGCGTGTCTCATTCCTCTGCCAAGACCCATGGAACCCGAGGTGACTTCCGGGGCAAAAATGGCCGCAGTCAAGGCAACCATGCCACAGTCAGGTAGGGTCCATGTTGTTTATGTTGGTGTCTAGTGATACGATTCGTGTGGAGAGAGGATGTATTTTTGTGTGTCAAAGGAGAGGTTATGTAAATCTTATTGCTTCTGTGAGTGAGGCAGGGGGAGAATCTTCTGCGGATCCGCAAATTTTAGTGACCACAAATTTGTTAAAATCTCATGGCTTCCCCCTAAACACCCCTAAATTATGCACCACGCTCCATTGCAAATAAGTTTCAGCTGAAAAGGAAAATATGCATTCTCATCCCTGGTGAGGGATACAGGTGGCCCCGTGGTCCAGGGTGCGTCTCCTCTGCTCAGTTTCAGTCCATTAGTCCTTATAATGATAACATATAGCAAACCCCTTAAAAATGGCAAGTTTCTACTAGTCCTTATGATACCTTAACTATTGGTCAGTTTGGCAAGGACTACCATGACTACAGGACTTGTGCCAATTTTCTAACCCTGCTGCTAGTGGGATAACAGTTCTTCCCCATTTACCAGTCCTTGTTTACCTGTGCTCAAGGGTTTCGCGAATGGCTTGCACCTGCCCACCACATTGTACTGACATTCTGTGGTCTGACTGAAATTGTGTACAAAGTGAAGTTAAACCCCACTCACTCACTAGTATGTGTGAATTGTTTCTTTCTTTGGATGCATAGTTTCTCCACCTTGTGGTGTTTACATGTGTATCCTTCCCCTGACTTTGTTAGATTTGCTGTAGGAATACAAGCTGATGGATGATACAGCATTTTGCAAATAGTTCCTTGCCTTGTTGCCGTGATTATTGCCAAAACTGGCAATCTTTTGGATTTGTTATTTGACTGTTAATCTATGTGACGTTGTTCCCCAGGTGGGTCGGAGGAGTTGGAAGGACACTGCTACGGGATGCCAGCCAAGAGGACAGGGATCACACCATCAGCTCCCCCTTCCTTCCCCACACAGTCAGACAGGTACTGGCAGTTACACTGACTAATGAGTCAATATGCCACTTTTTGAGACACCTGATATTAGGGATGTCACGATTCACATATACCTTGATAATATACTCAGTTGATACAATACGATGGAAAAATTATGTGATACACATTTACCCATATCGATGCATAATTTTAGTCCTTGACTGTTTCATACATGGAACAAAAAATTGATCTTTCCTACTAATACTTAATAATATATATTTGTACTATATCGACACTGTACATTGTACATAGTTTTAAGACTTTAAACCTGTTCTAGTCTTTTCCTAACTGGTGTTGGCACTCCAGTGTAAATAAATTATTGATTGACCAGATATTCAGGAAGTTTCAAGCCTTATTAATGAATATGCCCTATGAAATATAAAAATTCACGCACAATTGCCATGAATTAAGTATCTCGATGTGTAGTGCATGGTACACAGAATATCACGACTTGTATCATATCAAGAAATAGTCGTATCGTGACATCCCAGCCAGATATATATCCTTCTCGTGCTGAAATTATTGTTTGCATGAAAACTGAGTCTTTACAGTGATTTCATGGAACGTCAGTGGAGTAGTCGCTCATGTTCACTGAAATTGTTAGTGTGGTTGCCATGGTTGCCATATCACGGGATGCATCATATTGATGAGCTGTGTGCAGGAAGGTTGCAGTGGATCTAAACATATACCCATCATTTGTTGTAGAATAGATTCATTTAGGTTGGCGCCTATTCTAATGTCTTTTTTTGTATAATGTCTTTGTGTTATAAGTTGTGTGTGTTTTGTGTAAATAAACATGGCAGTAAATCGTTTGGCACTATATGATCAATGGGGCGATTCACTCAGGCTTTATGTTCTTACACAGTTTCTAAAATTACAATAGTGAATCACTATATGTTTCAAACTTTAATTATATTAAGAATGACATCATACATTATAGTGGTTATTGTGTGCTTACGTATCATAAGTTAGGAATAAAACACATATGCTCACGTAGTACATTTATATTCCTAATATATTATATTTATGATTCAAAAACACCCTTAGCTTATAATCCCTATTTTTTGGTTTTGAAAATTAAAAAGTGTGCAACATGTCTTGTAGAATTTTTTGGAACTGATATATGAATGTGAATTCTTTTGCATAATTTTTTACAATACTGAATAGAAACCATAATCCTAATGATAGCTGTGTAATATGACACTCACCCAGCCCTTAGGGGGACCAGGCGTGCAGCGTTCTTCCCCTGGGAGGGATACTGATGCCTATTATCTGTACCACTTTCTGTGTGTTGCAGTCGCATGGATGACATCGTTGTCAAGCTGTCCGGTGCAAAGTGGTAAGTTGTCAGCATCTGGGACAGTGTCAGATATGTCAACATGGGTGGAATTCAGTAACAGCTCTCCAAATCGTGCCTCTTTTATCATTGAGTATGATGCCTTTTATACCAATAGACTTGAGAGTTACATGGTAAGATATGACTGTTTCTCTAATACTATTCTGAAACTATAATTATTGTAGTAACGAGCAGCACGAGGTTTCAAATGTGAAATTTATCTTATGTCTGCTAGGGAGTTGAGTTCCTAGCTCTTTACTGAAAAGGGGGCACGGGTGGCCCAGTCGTCTAAGGCGCCGCGATTCGCTGTGCAGAGTTGCGTCCCTTTGGCACGCCAGAAACCTATTATTGTGGGTTCGAATCCCGGTTCTCCCCAATTATGTTTCTAGGTTTGTCATCACCATACCCATGCTCGTGGGTTTCACTAATGTGGTAAACGTCTGAAACCTGCATCACTTCGGGCTTTCCTCCCACATTAAGCTGACACGCCGTGATATAACTGGAATACTGTTAAAAGCGGCGTTTAACCCAACTCACTCAGTCACTCTTTACTGAAAACACAGTATGTTTATCTTTTTCTACAGTGACACAGTAAAGATATTGAGTGAAGTGGCATGAGTTGAGTCCAATAGTACTGCTAAGTGTGTCATTAAACCAACCAATTCACATTTGACTTACTCTACCCTTGTTTTTTCAGGCTGATCAATGCTAATGGTGAGACCCGGAAATGTCCGCAGTGTTCGGAGATGTTCCCGGCAGAGCTGAGGGAGGAGGACTTCATGGAACACGTCCTGGGTCACATGGGACGCATCTGCCCCGTCTGTAAGAAGCAGGTGGACGACACCATGGACGGCAGTGCTTTTGAATATCACGTGCATTGCTGCATCGGCGAGGGCAACAACTGAACAGACAGGATTTGTTGCCATGGTGATGTGTTACCATGGTGAGCTGTATTGCAGAAGAATAACTTTACTTGATGTTTTTTTTTTGTAACATTACTTATAGCCGAAAATCACTTAAAGTTCACTAACAGAATTTTGTTTTATGCTGTGAAACACATGTTAGTCTTGATTGAAACATGAAGTACTAAAAATGTCATGAGGTATTCTGTTGAAAATACCCATTTAGATTGCTCTTATCATGCACACACATGTGAACAGCTTGATTTAGGATGTAGTAGATTATGGCTGTGTGCTGTCTTGCCAGCTGTGTTCTTCGTCAGGCGCTGGGAAACACATACAATTGTCAAAAGCGTTGGGCCAGAACTGCACTGACTCTGGTGTCACCGATACAAGTCTCTGGCCACAGAATCTTGAAGGCCCACAAGTCTATCAACTCTGTAGTATGGCTGTTATAGCAATGGTACACTAGCTTTGGAGGACAACCTGGTTTGTCAGTTGGGGGATCATTTCGTGTTATATCTGGTTTCTTAGTGCTTTGTGTCCGCTTCATGCGCCGGATGAAGGGGTGGGGGATGGCCACACTTCCACATGTTTTATATATCTAGGTTTGGATACAAATTTTGTTGAGGATTGGAGAAGGTAGTTCATTAGGAACAGAATTAAGGATATTGTTGTAGTTGGCCCAGCACTCAAATGAAGTAAACATCTGTGATAATTAGCGTTTGAATACTGTCACCACACTGCACTACAGTTGTATATATCACTGTTGTCTTGAGTTACAATTCGTGTATGGTCATTATGAAAAACATAGCTCCATTTGTATTCTACATTACAGCCCTGCAAATCTTGAATCTGATAATCTAAGCAAGACTTCCCACCCCTTGCTCACATTCACTCTTAAGTTGATGTCTAGTTAGTCAAGCATTTAATAATTACCCTAGAGCCTACATCTCAGAGTCATGACAATATCTGGACCTATAAGCTCAAGATGGAGGCACTGGAATCTTGTACAACTTTGGTGATTAATGTAACAGGTCCTTTATTGATGTTCAAGTTAACATTTACCCTACTTTAAGGGTAGTATCATGTTTAACATACTGTAAACTGGAAAGTTTTGCGAACATGAAAGTACTACGAAAACTGAGAGTGACAGAAACTGGCAATAGTTTCATTACAGTTAGTTTGCAGACCGACAAGAAGCAAAGAAAGTCAGGAGGCATATTTTTGTATTCACTTACACATTGTTAAACCAGCCAGTACATGAGTAAAGAAACAATCCCTCACATCCTGTTTCAGCCCGTTTTTTTGTGCTCTGCTTCCTACTCATAAAAAATTGGTGATCTCATCAACAGGGTGTCACAGTACTTTCCAGAAGCACTTATGGCTATTGTTGGCCACTCGCAATATTTTCATGGCGCAAAGTGTTCCAGATTTACGGTACTGATAAATTTACCTTACAAACAAAATGTATGTCTTTCAGAGATGATGGTAACTAGTGCCGATGCACTCGCTGATTTTAGTCACGTGGCTTGCTGGCTTCCTTTCACTTAACTGTTTTGATTCAACCTTTTTTTGCCAGATATGGCAGATATATTCTTTTGTTGTACATGTTTCACATTTGACCAATATTTGTTTTGATATGGGTTTTACCTTACTATCAGTATTTACTATCATATTTACGTAGGGAGGCCCAACTTGGGGCTAGATGAATATCTTGTAATGTTTTTGACAGGGGAAGATATTTTTGAGACTTTCCTAAATGGGGTTGATCAGTCTCAATACTGTACATTATGTTTGTCAGCTGGGCTAGGCACACTAACATTGTCACACTGTCATCGGAAGTCGTATACTATTGCAATTTTGCCTTGCAAGGCAAGGGAGATGGTTATCCAGGATTGATCATGTTAGTAAATGCAAGTTTCAGGTATCTGGCTTTGAGTGCTTGAAACGAGAGACAGGATGTGTTGTCAGGTACCTGTACCGACACAGTGTACGGTGGTTGGATGTGGTACATGAGGATGCAAGTTCCGTGAGTGGTACACTAGATATTACTTGTACATGATGTGCCAGGCTTTGTGTGAAGTTTGAGTCTTTCCTGTAAGACACTTTAAGTCATCTTTCTGAGGCAAGGGAGTTAACTGACTGTAAAAGTCCAGTTTCCACCCTTGCCGAACTAGGCTGGAATTGTAGCCTCGATTGTAGCGCCACCAGTGGCTATTACGAGTTGTCCCTTCTATGTCCCTCCTATGGACCATTCAGATTCCACCTCTCATATCACTTGCATTTGCTTCAAGCAAAATGGCAGCACCCAGTCAAGATGTTCTGATTGATAATCAAAATCTATATTGTGATAAAATGGGTCACGAAGTGCATCCAGTCACGCGAGCACTTTGATTAAAAACATGAAAAGATTTGTATAATATCTGTTGATGCAGAGTTGGTGATACACATGCTTTGTAAATCATACAATTGACTGAAATCTGCTACGTGATTTTGATTGGACTATGCATAGACTCGCTAGTCCAGCCAAAATATAGCTCCATAATTCCAGCCTAGTTTGGAACTTTTATAGTCAGTTAACTCTGTTGCTTCAGGAAGGTGACTTAGAGTACCTTTTATTATGATAATTAGTGTCTTTGTATTATCATGATAATTAGTTACTTATATTGAGATGATAATTAATTTGTGGTCATGATCATGATAAATAGCTTCTTAACATTATCATAATTCATAGTTTCTTTGCCATGTTTTGATAGTTTCTGAATATGATGATAAATAATTAGTTAACATTATGATAATAAGTTTCTCGACATATGTGCTTATTATATGATACTGTTCCACAATTGTGAACTTATGTGATTACATGTTGATTTTTAGTTTATTCTTGTTCTGTTTAGCTTTGTTCATCAGGTGTATGCAGAGTGTATATTATTTATCTATTTTGGTTTTGTCTAACTTGTGAATGTGATTTTGTTACTTATTGCCACCTAGTGCTTAATCTGACATCAGACACCCCTTGAGTTGGTTGTATGAGGCATTCCACAAACAATTAAAGAGACAACAGCTCGTGTTGTGACAAAGGTATTTACCATATTCAACATATTAAAAACTCTACAAGAATTACCCCAAATTGCTTTGAAAACAAATCCGCATTAATGTCTTTAAACGATTTCCATCAAGTCTCTATATATGTTTCGGTACATATTAATTAAGTATTCAATTCCTTAAAACCTAATTAAATCAAGAGGAAGAGGTAGTATAAACACCCATTTCAACTGTATACACCCTGGTGCTTAATACGTTGAATACGGTAAGACTCACATCAAACAGTACTCAGCATTGTTTATTTCATGGAGATGATGACCCACATGTGATGTAAGCAATAGGTGTGTTGTACCTGCGGACGTGTGTACCTGTTATCAGTGTGAGCAGCGCTCTACATACATGTACCCCCGGAATCCTTCTGTTGTTGACTGTAGGTGTCTCCTGCTCCTTGTGGTGTCTGAATAGATCAAATATATATGTTACTTCCAATTCTCACCACTGTACAACATTCTAAGTTTATGGGAATAAAGTAATTCACTGTAGATACGTTGTTTGCTTGTTATGACCCTAGAAGCGGAACTGCTTTGTTTTGTTGGAAAGGGATCGCCACCAGTGGTGATTTTTCTAATGTATCCTACACAAAGATTATTGACATTAGAGATTATCCTTCCATGGACGTCTTCAATGTGTGCCTAAAACTTTTCATTTTCAGTAGATCTCAGTGTTATCATATGGACTATATTACTAGCTCAGCTAACTAGACCAAACAGACTTTTACTAGACTCGGGCTTTGGACTGCTGGCCAAAGTGGACTCTTTCTTCAAAAGGGCCTTGGGAAATTCTTTTGGCCCATGTCATGTGGTTCAAGGTCATGAGATAGAAAACATTGGGAACGGTTTGTTGTTATTTTTTCATAAAGAGTTCATGATTTATTATTAAACTTGGTGTATTTCTTTTCTAGACTAGAAAGTTTGGTGTCAATGTCATCTTGGAGATTATTTTAAGACATGGTTGTAGCATCTACTGGCAGTTGCTGTTGCACTTGTACAATCCCAAAACTTTGTGATTGTTGGATATTTAAATACTTTTGAAACTTTGAGGAAATGATTGTGACTGGACTGCTTCTGGGTTTTTTCCATGTACCTGAAAACATACACGTGCATACACCACATTTCACCTCCTTGCACCTCATTGACTTCACAACCTGATGCAGGGGATGATTCCTGTCTGGATAACTGAACAGATAACTGAACAAGTGTGTATGGGTGACGGATATAATGTGTCTGGATGACTGAACAAGTATTTCTAAATGACTTAACACATGTGTCTAGATGACTGCAAAGGTGTGTCTGGATGAACTTTTGTGTATGCTTTATTAATGCATGTTAAAGCTGCCAAGTTGTTTGGAATGGTCTAGTCCCATACTGCGCAGTTTGAGAACTCCATGCAGTCAGACTGGTTGGTACTGTTCTAACTCCAAACACGACAATACACTACCCTGTGGCTCGCACTATCACGACGACACCATGACTAGCTTGGCATAGTTAGGACCCTTACGTTCAATGATCCGCTGGCAGAGGAACGAGTCCCAGATTTTCCCTGGTTATGATCCATGGACTGTCAACACAATATCAAAATTGTCACATCATTGTTCACAAGGGAAATGCTGAAATCGTGCATCCGTTTTTCTCAAAGTTTCCCTTGACTCTATTACCTGCAGATTGTCCATTCCTCATTTGCACTAGATTCAAATGCTCCATAAATATCCGTACAAAGGGAGATATATTGCAGGTTCCCTGTCTCAAAGATGAACCATAATCCTTCATACAATTAAGGAAGGACTTTCGTTTTGTTCACAGAAAGTATTTGAGACAACTGGAATTAATACCATACGGAATCTAAAAAAGCGCAAAGCATTTGCTAAAATATTTGCAATCTCGGAACAGAACGAAGAACAATTCTGTCAAAACATTTCATCTTTCAACTTTGTACACCTCTGTCCAACACGACAAACTTCACAGCAAACTTCATTCCTTGACCTAGGGGGCATTTGTCACTAAACGTGGTGGCCAGATATAGTTACTTCACTATCTTCAAATCGTCAGTACAATTAAAAAATATGAAAGCAAATGCCATCTGAAGTTTACTGAGAACACATATGAAATGCTGGACGTCCTCATTGATAACATCTATGTGGAATTTGGGGGTATTGGGAGTAAGGCATTTAGACAAGAAGAAGGCATCCCAACGGACACAGGCGCTATCACAGCAGCTCCAGCCTTTGGTGTCTACATTTCACAACTTTCGACGTATAATCAAACATGCTTTTTCTACGAAGACTGATGGAGAGCTGTTTCATCTGTTGGTGTGGGTGTGGGTGTGGGTGCTGCTGCTGCAGTTGTTGTGGTGGTGCTGATGCTGACCTGTTTTGTAGTATACTGAATGTTGTAGTCTATGGCGCTAATTTCACGGAAAATTTTCCAGAGTATATTTCACAGCCATAGCTGTTTTACCATCTTCCCGAGGCAAGGTAGTTAACTGACGATATAAGTCCAGTTTCCACCCTTGCCGAACTAGGCTGGAATTTCCAGGATCGATCGTAGCGCCACCAGTGGCTGTTACGAGTTACGTCCCTTCAATGTCCCTCCTATTGACCAATCAGATTCAATCTCTCATATCACTTGCATTTGCTTCAAACAAAATGGCGACGTCCAGTCCAGACGACCTGATCGACGATAAAAATCTATATTGAAATAAAACGGGTCTTATCACGCGAAGTGCTTCAAATGGCTTTAGCACTTTGATTAAAAACATGGAAAGATATTCAAAATATCTGTCGACGCCCAGTTGACGGTACACATGCTTTGCAAATCCTGCAGTCGACCGAAATCTGCACGTTGAAATCCATGTTGTTTAAGAACCGGATGTCAAGTTTTCGATTTTGATTGGACTTTGCATAGACTTGTTAGTCCAGCCAATATGTAACTCCTGAATTCCAGCCTATTTCGGCAAGGGTTCGGAAATTGAACTTTACAAGTCAGTTAACGCCCTTGCCTCGGGAAGCTGCTGTTTTCCTAATGGGGGAGAGAAACACGTATATGGGTCTAACAGTGCACTGCCCACCCATGTTCTCATTGTCCCTGGCTATATACGTCACCATCACCCCAACACCGTTCCCACCCACTCCACAAATTCCAAAGGGACATTCTGACAAGAATAGGGTATGGTAAGTCTCTGACCTACAGAGGGAATAATGGGCATGCGGTGAACTCATACGCATACAGACTCGCAAATGTTCAGTCAGTAGTAAGACGTAATTCCTTACATCTGAATGGTGGATTGTTGAGAGGCCAATTAATACATGAGTTTCGAAATTTTGTTTAGGGATGTATCTTTCCTGATCTTCACCTGTGCATTTATTTTGATCAGTGGTGTAATCATGAACCATCATTTACTTCCACATACGACTCGTGAAGATCCGGGGAAGAATAGGTCTTCAGCAACCCATTCTTGTCGTAAAAGGAGCCTATGCTTGTCTAAAAGGCGACTAACGGGATCAGGTGGTCAGGCTCGCTGACTTGGTGGATGCATGCAATCGTATCCCAATTGCGTGGGACTCGTGAAGATCCGGGTAAGAATAGGTCTTCAGCAACCCATTCTTGCAGTAAAAGGCGCCTATGCTTGTCGTAAAAGGCGACTAACGGGATCAGGTGGTCAGACACGCTGACTTGGTTGATGCATGTCATCGATCCCAATTGGGTGGATCGATGCTCATGGTATCAATCACTGGATTGTTTGGTCCAGACTCGATTATTTACAGACCGCCGTCATATATAGCTGGACTATTTCTGTGTGCGGCGTAAAACAACAAACCAACCAATTGCGTGGATCGATGCTCATGTTCTTAATCACTGGATCCCCAAGGCGTAGATCGATGCTTATGGTGTCAATCACTGCATTGTCTGTCCAGACTCGATTATTAACTGACCACCGTCATATAGCTGGAATATTGCTGAGTGCGGCGTTAAATAACAAACAAACAAACAAAACAAACAAATCTTCCACATACAGGAACAACTATAAAACCAAGCTGTGCCTAATCTCTCGCCAGAATGGCGAATTGTATTGTTGCTTAAGAAAGTCAGTTTCACTATTCACTGCAAGAATGTAGGTAGGTGTGTGATATCATTTGGATTTATTTGTTCCAATCTAGCCGTTGACTGTTACTATGTCTTTGACAGTACCTTGACACTAATTACAAAATTGTTCAATTGCCAATGAAGCAAAGAGGCTGGCCGTGCAGTGAAAACATTCAATTTACAGTTACTTATTCCCTTCCATTGATGTATTTTTTATATGATTTTTAGATATGAGACATTTTACAAGTTTGACTGATCAGACAGACTGATTAACAGACAGTTATATACCAGTAAATGATTTCCTGGTACGACAATCAGAAAGCGGACATGGTACCAGAAGAAAGATGACATATTTAAATTACTTTCATGGAACGATTCATTTTGTACAGGTAAACATCATCTCTATACTAGGGAAAACTATTTAACAGTATTAACGCTTGATGTATTCTACTCAAAAGAATTAATAGAACACCCGATTTGTCATATGACTATTGTCCTATTATTCATGAATGTGGTGGGTGAGTGAGTTGGGTTTAACGCCGCTTTTAACAGTATTCCAGTTATATCGCGGCGTGTCAGCTTAATGTTGGAGGAAAGCCCGAAGTGATGCAGGTCTCAGACGTTTACCACTTCGGTGAAACCCACGAGCACGGGTATGGTGCTGACAAACCTAGAAACATAATCGGGGCGAACAGGGATTCGATCCCACAATCATAGGTTTCTGGCGTGCCCAAGGGACGCAACTCTGCTCAGCGAATCTCGGCGCCTTAGACGACATGGCCACCCGTGCCCCCTTTCATGAATGAGTCCGCATTACTTTGCCTTATAGAATCACCACGCTCTGCTATTTAGAAAACATTCCCTTCACAATATGAAACTCTAAAAGTTCACATTATTATAAAGTCTCAGTGATGACAACAGGTGTTCGTGGGCCTGTCGTCAATTAAGGTCAAAGGTGACGGAAAGGTTGGCCGAGAAAACAATGTAGAGTTTCTGTGCCCAGGTGACGGATACATGTTGCAAGTAGAAAGGTGAATTTACAAAGAAATTCCTTTAGACGGGTGATATCAAGTAAAATAATATGTTCCCAGTATAGAGGCCTTAAATTAGAAATACTAGTATTCAAGAATTGATACGTACCGTATTCGATGTATTAAGCGCCCCGTGTCTAATGTATAGACCAATCTGTACGTAATGTCTATAAGCGGCCCTTACTAAGACTGAAACTTCACATTGCAGTCCGTATCAGGGCCATCTGATTGTCTAGTATCTAGCATCGATACTCTCGATCACTGACAACATATTGTTGTGGTTCGTACAGAGTTGCACCCCTTCGTGTAGCCAGAATCCTATGGTCGTTGACACGATTCGTCGTGATTATGATGTTTGGATTACCAGCACCA